TCGATCGTCACAGATCGGAGGTAATTTTTACGTTTTTACGATCCTCTTGTTATGTAGATTACGAATCCAGAAAAAAAAAACGAAAAAAATCACACGTTGGCCTGCTCGTGTGAATTTACACGAGCGCATCCACTGTGCTCGTGTAAATCCACACGAGCAGGCATCTTTATTATTTGTTTTTTTTTTAATTGCTCGTGTAAAAACACACGAGCGGTTGCAAAGTGCTCGTGTGATTTCACACGAACGCTTTTCAACCGCTCGTGTGTTTTTACACGAGCAGATTAATTTTTTTTTTTTTTGATTTATAAGATGCTCGTGCAAAAACATGCGAGCATTTCAACAGTGCTCGTGTGAAATCAGATGAGCCCTGTTGAAATGCTCGCATGTTTTTGCACTACCAAACCATTAAATTTTCATTTTAATGTGGGTTGGTATTACTATTGGGGAGGAATAAAAACAAAGTAACATAGCTAGGGTAAAAAAGGTAAAAACTCATGGTAAAAAAATGCCTGAATGTTTAATTTGGCCTGCATATATCATTACCCTATAAAATATTGTTTACAAATTTTTGAATCTTTGTATATAGTGATTGTAATGAATTATATATTTTCTAAAAGTTCCTTATCAAAATTTAATGGGTTTAGGTTAGTCGAAACAATTAAAGTCTTTCTACGCACATAATTCACAAAACACTAACTCAATAAATACAAATAATTAATTAACCATTCTAAATTACCAATTGCATGTCTTCTAACACTTGTATCTAGTGACCGCAATGAATTAGATATTTTAAGAATTTTTTATTTGTATTTACATGGATTTAAGTTAGTCCAATAATTATATACAAAAAATTGTTGACGCACATAATTCTCCAAAAAATAACTAAAATGATAAAAATACTTACTTAACATTATAAATTAATGTTTTTTCTATTTTTTAAGTCTTGTATCTAGTGAGTTGATTTATATATTATCTATAGAAAATTAGATAAATGTAGGATTGAGGTCTTCATTAATCTCAATTTATTTTTATTAAATAATAAAAATAATATTTAAATTCATTAATCTCAAATATTTTAATTGGGCTGAATTGGGCAAGAGCCATATGCAGCTGGGCCTCTGTTCATTGGGCTACGAATTATACTTCTAGTTACTATTCATTGGGCCTGGCTTGTAATGATTGAAAGCGTGTTTCTAATATTACTATTACCGAGAAGTAAACGTTAATCCAGGTTTGCAATTTCAGTTACTTAATGATAAAGCGGGGAGGGTTTAGCCCTAAAACGGCGTCGCCTTGATTCTTGACGAACAAAACACGTTTATGCTGCGATTACAATTTTAGCCCTTGCGCAACACTATTTAATTTTTATTTTGATTTTTTTTTTCCACAGAATTATTTATTTATTTATTTGCTCCAAGGTTCTGCAAATCGGACCTATTTACTGCTCGCGATTATTCACCGATTTTCTTCCGTCAACTCGAAGGTACGGTTTCATCGATTTTCATTTTCCGTAATTGCATTTGGTTATCGTTTCTGTACTTCTGATTAATGAAAACCCTAGGGATAGCTTTATTTCCTGTTGTTGATTGATTGTAGTTGGCTGTAACTTGGACACCGATGATTTATTGCATTTTATTTTTTGTTTTCTTTTGCTATAATATGGTTTTTTTCGTATCGGATGACGCGAAGAAGAATTGTATCTGAGTTTTCCGTTTTATGTTATTTGCTCAAGGCTTCTGATTTCTTATGTTTGTGGCGTTGAACTTTCGAATGCAGAGGTGTTTGATTTTGACTGTACAGTTGTTTTAGTGGCTTGCGAAGTAGGTATTTTTTTTCTAACAGCGAAGTTTTGTCGGGCTGCCACATTGATTTGTGAATTTCTAGTTTCCTGTAAATTGTAATGCCGTGATCACTATGTGAAGGTGTTAAAACACTCAGATTTTTCTAATAGGTTTCTGTATAAATAACTGATTTAATCATGTGATTTGTATTATCATTTTATGTGTTACGCATATTTTACTCATTATCCCTATTTTGCCAATGATGTATAAAAATGATATTGGTTTAGATTGTTTGAGCGGGGAACCTTCCTAATGACCCCCTAGGCAGTAGAGATGTGGAACACAGACAGCAACATTGAACTCGTACCATGCCTGGCTCGAAATTTTCATATTAAAAAATGGATAGGATATTTCATGATGTGAGTTCTTGGGGAGTTCCGAGTTGTACACTTTACCGATTTTGTGTAAGAACGAATATTGGTTGCTTACCTCCCCCCACCCACAAAGAAACTTGATCTGTTAAGAGGTTTTTATTTATAGCCCATTCGAAAATCAACTCCAGAGGCATAATTTGTCGAAACACTTTCTATGATAACCACATGCTTTTAAAAGGAACTGTAAATAAAGTCAAATAACTTGAAGGTGGAACTAAAAAATCTATTTGCCATGACATGTACGAAGATTTCTGAGCTTCATGTGTTTGCATCTTTTACCTTCTTCTTTCACATTGATGAAAGTCCTGTTAATTTATTCATATTGATTATGGTGTTGTGTCTAGATATTTCCCTTTGAAGTTCATGGCGAATCTGGACTCCGCTGAAGGTTCAGGCGCAAGAGATGCATCTGGTCAAAGTTCTGAGTCAACTTTTGAGATCAACATCAAGACCCTAGATTCCCGGATTTGCAGTTTCCATGTTGATAAAAATGTAATTTCTTATTTAATCTCATCTCAGCTTTGAAGCCTAGAGAAATCAAGTAAATGCAATCTTTATCTTTCAACATGTCGTGTTCCATGCTTGAAATTTACGAAGGTTATACAAGAATATAGCAATCTTCCCAAGCAAGCATGATTTTTTTTTTCCTGATGCTTGTGATGCAGCTTCATATGGATATAAATTTGGATGGAAAAGATAAAGAGCTTTTAGTAATGAATGATTTTTAGTTAGTTTTATATTATCATGTACTGATATCTTACTTTTCAAGAACCGTTCCATTCCCTTTTCTGTGATATGTGAATAAATTAAGATACTAACATTATAATCATTCGTGGATTCGCACATTTCAGATTGTCGTCTTGGCATTCAAGGAGAAAATAGCTAGTCAAATTGGTGTTCCTGTTGGGCAGCAACGTCTTATTTTCAGGGGCAAGGTCTTGAAAGATGATCACCTACTTTCTGAATATAGTATCCTACCAATTGTTGCATTATTGATATCTTTCTGAGATTCATTTAGAACTGAGAGGAATATCAGCCACAACCACCCAATATTGATTCCTGGAACTTTCTTTTGTATATCTTGGTCTTTGGTGTTACGCACTTGTGTTTTTCATGGAATTCTTTATAGTCTTTATAGTGTTTGCCTTAACAACATAACAGATGTTGAGAATGGGGATACATTACATTTAGTTGAAAGGCAATTACAGCCGGCTCCTGGACCCAACACTGTAGAAGCAACTTCAAGTAACGGCAACAGAGGCGGTATGAATGACATTCTGAGTATAGGTTTTAATGGAGATTTGTGTTGTTGATCTGCTTCAAGCATTTTCTCTTTCTCATTTTCGTTTCTTTTATGGGTTACAGTACAGGATTCTACTGCTGGTGTCCCACGCAATCGTATCGGGCAAATTGCTCACAGTGTAGTGTTAGGGACCTTAAATGTTGGAGATGCTGGGGAGGGTGCTGGACCAGATTTAAGTCGGGTGTGTTTATTTAGTCTTTTTAGAGCTTACTCTGTTCATTTGAAGACGGAATTATACAAAATATTATCTTCTACAGCAATTCAATATATTTGCATTATGTCAGGTCATCGGTGCAGTACTTAGCTCTATAGGAATTGGCAACCTGGCAGGAGGTGTGCAACCTGGTTTTCAGGTAGTGGCTCAGTTTAACCAAACATATGCTTACTGCTTATTTTATATAATTAAGATTAAAAACTAAGACCATCGTAGTTGGAATTCACAATGTTCTTTCTACTTCTTATAATTGCGGGCTTATGAACATCGTCTTCCCATGTTCAGACTTCTCATGGAAATGACTCAGAAGGGTCACAGGTTAATTCGAGCAACCGAAGTCAGGGCGGAAATCAGTCTATCCCTTCACCTTATCCTATGCAAACCCCTATAGGAGCAGCAGTTGCTCTCCCGTCGCTGAACCTGGTAGAAAGATATGCTTTCAACAAGGCTTTAAAATTCTTTTTTTTTTGGGTTTATCCTAATCTGTTATTTTTTCTTATTATCAGCCAATTCCTGATTCACTAAACACACTTACCGAGTTCATGAACCGAATGGAATCAGCATTCTTGCAAAATGGTAATAGCGTGCGCCTTATTGAGTTTGTGTTGTTGTTAGTGTTTTTACTATCAAATATCTCTGACAAGGGTCCGTTGCCTTAAGTTTAGGTACTCAGCAAAACCAATCACCAACTGCTAGCGGCAGTATACCTACCCCACAATTGCCCACAAATACCCGTGGTTCAACAGTGGAGGCTCTGACCATTGTCTTACGACATGCCGAACGTCTTCTTCGTGACCATGCTGCTTCAGCATTATCTGTAAGGAGCGCAATATGACAATATTATTCTTCTGTGCTCTAGTTCGGGTTCTGTAATCTCTTCTGTTTATGGTTCCATTTATAATCTGCTAAACCTTGTAGCATACTGCGGGGCGTTTAGACCAAGAGGGAGGTTCAAATGATTCTGCTGTAAGGGGGCAAGTTCAGACAGAATCCATGCGTTTAGGTGTTTCTATGCAACACTTAGGTGCACTTTTTCTGGAGTTGGGGAGGACAATTTTGACTCTTCGCATGGGACAATCTCCGGTATGTCCTTTTCCATGATGTCAGCAGCTGGCCATGTTTGTGTGCGTGTTTATTAACAATCTTCTGATGCTTATGCAGGGGGAATCTTTCGTGAATTCTGGGCCTGCTGTTTATATATCTCCATCAGGACCTAACCCGATTATGGTTCAGGTCTGTTATTCAATCCCTCGTTGTTATTAGAATTAAATTGTTTCCCTAGTTTCTGTGTACTGTCCAAGTATGTTTCCTTGCAATTTTTCTGGGGTCATGTTCAAAAATGCTTTAGGATAGTAGGAATCTCTGTCAGTCTGTTGACACGTTGATTTCGTGCATATACATGCTTTTTGTCCTCATTTATGTTACTGTTTTTGTTTTATTGATTTTTTTTATCATTTCTGATGCCGATTATTGTGACTGTGAAATGATTTTCATGCTTGATTTGCAGCCATTTCCTCTTCAAACTAGCTCTCTTTTCGGGAATTCATCTGGTGTGGCACCAAATCTTGTAGCTACCAATCCAATTGGTGTTGGTAATGTCCCAAGGAATGTAAATATTCATATTCACACTGGTAAGTCATATTTCAGAATCGACTTCCTTCTGTTTTCTGTATAGTCATATGATTCTCACCGTGTCCATGGAACCGTTGCTTCATACCAGGGGCAGCACTTGCGCCTATGGTTTCCACGCTGGGTAACAGGCCACCGAGTGGTGAAGAAACGCAAAGAGACAGAGCTAGTAGAACTGAATCTGGTGAGTCTGGTCAAACAAGGGTTTTGTCAGGGCTTAATGTCATTGCATCACGACCTACCATACCAATTTCTAGTGCTGTACAACCCGGCACCGGTGTTTCACAGGCTTCTCAACCCAATGCTATTTCCTCAATCGTGGCCGAAATTGATCGTCAAATTAGAAGTCTAACTGATAACAGGCAGAATGAGCACCACACACCATCAGGTATACTGTATACACCCGTTGAAATATGTATTATATTATTTCATATGTACTCTATAATGAAGGATTTCATTTCGTCATGGTCAATCAGAGGGTTTGGTCGATGATGCTCGCAGTCACCAGAGTAATTTATCCAGTAGCAGAGTTGGTGATACCAGTCAAACTTCATCTCATAACACCATCATGGAGGACCAAAAAGTGAAAGTGGGTAATTTTACTTTATATGATTGCTTGTGATTCTAATAGCAATTCACTAACTAGGCTTTAACTGCCAGACACAAACTGAACCTTCTAGCAGTTCCGAGGGAGGTCCTCACCACACGTCAAGTGCGTCTGAGTATGCTGAACGCAGTGAGGCGCCCCCAAAATCCAGTCAGGGTAATGATAACCCAGATGGACCTTCAAGTGTACCTCTTGGATTGGGATTGGGTGGCCTTCAGCCTAAGGTAGAAACTACTTTTTTCCAGTCTTGGTATGTTTTGTCTTTTCGTCTTGGAAAATATATAACAATTTAAATGCTTTTACTTTATACTCGGTCATACTTTGGCTGTTAAGGACTCTCATACGACGATATGATGATCATGCATTATTTTAGAATTATTTTTCTATTTGTGTTTGAATATTATATGCATTTGATGCTTTACTGGACTATTTCAGAAGAAACCATTGCTGCATCTTCGAGTAAGAATAGCAACACTCACTTTCCTAATTGCCAGTATCAGATGATGATTTATTGGAAAGCTGATGTACTGTCCATATACTGATCTTTGTGTGCTTGTCTCTGACGAATATAACATTTATTGTCTAAAATGGATGACAGAGACGAGCCAGTCTGCCAAGAGCACAAGCTAAGAGCGGCGACGGTGCAAATTCTAGTGGTCAGGACAAGAAAACTAGAGAAGTCGGACAACAGGTTCTTCAGTCACTTGCATCATCATTTTCATCTAGGGGAGACGCAAATCCTCCTCCAGTGCAACAACCTTCAAACTTTGCCAGAGGAGGAGTCATGGGTAATGTGCCTCCTCCTTCAGGGCAAAATGCCGATTTAGCAGATGCAATGTCACAAGTTCTGCAAAGTCCTTCTTTGGACGGTCTATTAGCTGGTGTGTCGCAGCAAACAGGGGTTGGTTCCCCAGATATGTTGAGAAATATGTTCCAACAATTTACTCAAAACCCTGCTATGATGAATACGGTGAGTCAGATAGCCCAGCAGTTTGATGGCAACGATATTGGAAGCATGTTTTCGGGTTCGGGAAGCGGGGGCCAAGGTGGGGGGTTTGATATATCGAGAATGATGCAGCAAATGATGCCCCTTCTTACTCAGACTTTAGGAGGAGTTTCGCCTCTTCCTCAACAAAGCCCTCCTTCAGAACCACTGCTCTTGGGAAGTAGTTCGAGAAGAGACATACCACCAGTTATTAATGATTATCCTCAGGTTTGTATTTGACAAAATGCTTCCATTATTATATCCTCATGTTTCTTTTACATGATTCTTGATATTTTCATACAGGGAATTGATCTCCAACAAGTGGTTCAGAGGCTTGAAGGCGGAAGTTCGTCTGAGGAAGTTTTTCGCTCTTTGGTTGACAGGGCAGCGCATTTGTCTGGTAGCTCGGAGGAAAGTGCTGTAAATGAATTGTCCAGTCAGGCAGGGCTTGCACAGGTTAGCATTAGCACATTGTCGTTTACTAATCCGTACGCATGGCTTATCGTGGCATAGCAAAATTTGCTAACGTTCATCTTTTTGTTGATTCGTATAGGAGTTCATGGAGATGCTCCGTCTTGACGTGTCCCGGAGACTTCAGAACGAAGGGGGGTCTTAGGAGAAGAATTGTATTTTTTTGGTTTTTTGGTCGGTTGGCAGTAATTATTACCCGATTTATGTATTTTGTCCCTTGCAATATATTATTTATTGACTTTATGTAACAATGGAAATTGGAAACACATCCTTCGTAGCAGCGGGCTTGAGCTATTTTGTAATGTGACTATGTGAGATTTAGTTGTTGATATTTGATAATAGCTACATGGTACAGTTGGACATAGGGTTTTATCTATCCTACACCCGGTGAAGGTTACACCGGGTGATTTTTAACCGTTGATCTACACACACCAATGTGGGTGTGGGTGTGTTTGTGTGTATATGAATGGTAAAGATTTACCCGATGTATTTCACCCGGTGTAGGATCTCAAAAGCCTGGACATAGTCGATACAAGCTTTTTTGCTTTGGAAATGACTGGGTTTTATTTATTTATTATTATTAATTATTAATCTTTTGTACTTTCCAATTTCCCTATTAAATAAATAAATTCTTCAAAAATGCGGGATAAAGAAAGAGAACATATAAAAAGGAGGGAACGATTCTTCAAAATTAGGTCTAGAGATTCAAAACGCGACACTTGGGAAATATATTTTAAAGCCGGAAGAAAAAGCGAAGTTCTTCCCATTCTGCTGACATGGCGTCGGAGGTAGCGGAGGAGACGCCGAAGCCTAGAGGTGGTAGGTTTTGCACCTTATGTAACGCCAGACGCGCCGCCCTCAAGCGGCCCAAAACCCTAGAACAAGTAAATGATTCGCTCTACGTCTCAGCTTTCTTCCCTCTGTTTCCGAAATCCTTTTGCTGAAAATAACATTTCCCCTTTTAATTTCGTACAGATATGCAAGGAATGCTTTTATGAAGTTTTCGAAGATGAAATTCACAGAGTTATTGTAGATAATAATCTCTTCAGACGCGGCGAACGCGTCGCCATTGGAGCTTCTGGTGGAAAAGGTGAACAAAATCGATTTTATAATATACCTGCAAATTTGCCGAACTACAATTCTTCAATCGTGCGTTTATCAGCCTAAAACAAAAAATTAGAATGGATAATTGGGTATATATAAAATTTGGTCCATGTATTGAAATTAACTATTACTCTCAATGAACGTGTTGTTTCAGATTCCACTGTCCTAGCTTATGTGTTGTCCGAACTGAATCGTAGGCACGATTATGGCTTGGATCTTTTCCTGCTTTCAGTTGATGAAGGCATCACTGGTTACAGGGATGATTCTCTTGAAACTGTTAAAAGAAATGAAATCCAGGTACACTATGATCGCCTGCTTTTTTTTTTTTTTTTTTTTTTATCCTTTCGATTTTGCTTCTTTCGACACTACTCGTGAGTGCTTGCAATAATTTTCGGGTGTTTCGAAATTGCCGAAACCAGAAGTTCTTTTAGATGAGTAGCGAACTATTTTTTTTTTATTTTTTTCAATGTCTTGATGCACTAACCTGTCGTATTAGCTTATTTTTCAACTTCTGGTGACCGTCTAATGGGTTCATGTTTTTTTTTATACCCGTTCAGTATGGACTTCCTCTTAAGGTGGTTTCGTATAAACAATTATATGGGTGGACGATGGATGAGATTGTGAAGCTAATAGGTCTGAAGAATAACTGCACATTTTGCGGTGTTTTTCGTCGCCAGGTAATCATAATGTTCCTCGTCACTGATTAAGTGGGCTCAGAATTTGTGTTAGATTTCCAACCTATGTGCCGTTTGAGCTTTAGTTGTAATCTCTTAAGCAATTCTTATCTAGTTTTCTTGATTTTTAATTCTTCATGAACTTTTTACTTAGTATTGTAATTTAACAGTATAATGCTGATTGTATTGAAGGCTCTGGATCGTGGTGCTACACTTTTGAAGGTAGACAAACTTGTTACGGGGCATAACGCCGACGACATTGCTGAGACAGTGCTCTTAAATATTTTAAGAGGTGATATTGCCAGGTAATAATATTACTCTAAGCTCTTGAAAGTATTAGGTTAGAGAGTTTAATCATTGGGGATGTACTTTTCTTGGTTTCGTTATTTTAATCCACGAGATTTGTGATCAGTAAAAACTCGTTGTTGATTTACCAGGCTGAGTAGATGCACCTTTATAACCACTGGTGAAGATGGACCTATTCCAAGATGCAAGCCTTTTAAGTACACCTATGAGAAGGAAATTGTGATATATCCTTTGCGAATTACGGGGTTTTATGATTTTTCTCTTTATTATTTCGTTATTTTAATAGCTGTTGTAGTAGCAGTCGGCTGTATTTTAACCACTTAAGTGAAGCCCTTAACCTGTTCTTACGTATGCGTACTTCAAACGGCTGGATTACTTCTCTACAGAGTGTAAGTAACGATTCTTCGCACTACAATTTTAGGATTTTTGTCTAATCTCTTTTTTTTGACAGAGGAATCTCACTAGTGCTAGTAGCTGGTGGCGTTTTCTCAAGTCAGAATACCCTAAATTTCTAGTTAATAAATACCGTTTAAAATCGCAGGCATTTACTCTCCGAACGCTTATCGTGGCTTTGCTCGGGAATTTATTAAAGATTTGGAGAGGCTCAGGTTAGATTAGATTACTATCTGTTTCAATTACCTCAATGCCGTCTTTGCCGTACTCATTTTAGTTTAATTATGGTTTGTGGATATAGGCCAAGAGCTATTCTCGATATAATAAAATCAGGTGAAGATTTCCGAATCTCTACTACAACAAAAATGCCAGAGCAGGGAAATTGCGAGAGATGTGGTTATATTTCCAGCCAGGTAAGGACAATCTTCTCCAAATACATTTAATAGCAAATCGCCAAATCCCATAACATTCAGCACTGAATTTCAATTATTCGACTGATCACTTTTTTACGTCTAATGCACACACACATGCACGCAGAAATGGTGTAAGGCGTGTGTTTTGCTGGAGGGGCTTAATCGGGGTTTGCCTAAGATGGGTATTGGACGGAGTCGAGGTATTGATAATGAACGGAACAAGGATGTTAAAGAAACTAACGGAACAAAGAGTTTAGAGAGCAAGCAATGTGGATCGCTCGACTTCTGATTGAAGGTATAAGTCACTTTCTTTTTTAGCTCCATAATTTATAGTTAAATACGTGTAGTATTCGATGCTATACTAGCTTGCTTATCTATTAATTAAAAAAGAAAAGCGATTCTTTGGTTTTAACTAAGATAAAAACAACGTAATAATTACATTTACATTTCGATACTGGTGCTATTGCGTCGATGGCTCCTCCTCAAGTGGGTTTTTTTTCTTTTTTCTTTTTTTTTTCGGGACACAATTGAAATGCAGATTTGGCCATTATTGTGGTATTATATGTATTATTGAATGAAATGATTGTATAATATCAACTACAGTCAGGGCGCACATGTTAGTTACTTCCAATCAAATCAAATTTGTTAAGATTAATGATTCATAGGAGAAGCTAGTGTAAGAATGTTAGTTCTCTGGTAGTGGAGGAACTGAGAAGACAGCTGTTAATGTTTCTCAAATCTTAGTTCAGAGTTCCATGTTGTTTACCTCATCTCATAAGATCTAGGTTGTATCTCCTATCTAATAGGTAATATTTTATGATTTTATCTTAAAACACCATGGTCAAAGTTAGCTTCTGACCCCAGCTTTGATTTGGACTTTATTCAATTATTTTTTAAGTTATTTAGCCTCTTATTTGATTTACTGTACTCAATGCTTGAGATTCCTCCTTTTGGGCAGTACAATGAGGAATGCAAAAGTGAGGCGAGTCATAGTTAATTGAAATAATTGGATTGGGTAATTACGGCCACCTCCTAAGGTGAGGTGAAATTACGAAAATACCTCTCTTGTTTGGGTAATTACAACTACCTCAACTATCTATTGTGTCAAATTTACTTACTGACGAAGAGGTTTTTTTTGTAAGAGAATACATAATTTAGAATTAATTATAATTACTCAAATAAGAGGGTTTTTTTTTTTTTTTTTTTTTTTTAATTTGAGGTTACTTCGAGGGTGTGGAAATAATTTGCCCTTCATAATGCAAGTTAGTTTTTTTTTATTTTTTTTTATTGGAAAAACTAAATAATTTACAGAGGAAAATCATAAAAAAATAGTTGGCAATGTGAAAAAGAAGTGGGAAAAGAGCGTATAGTAGGGCGAGGCAGAGATGCGACGCGGTGTGCACATGCACACTTGGTGGGGGTGGGTGGTCTAAAGTCTAAACGACATCCCATTTTCATGGCTGGGATTCTTTCATCACATTTCTCTTATTATTATTTACATATTTATTTTTTTTATTTTAAAAAAAAAGAGAGAAAAAAATAATAATAATCTAAAACTCACTCCACTATTTTCAACCAATCAGAAACACGAACAATGCATGTGGGAGACCATTGGCCTGAATTTGCCCAGCGTGGGCCCACCACCGACACCCCCCTAATCTCTTCTTAATGATGGTAATTAGCTCTGGTAAATTGGTAATTATAGCCTAGTTTGATTGAATTCCATTCTACATAATAATTCGAATGCTTAAATTTCAAGTTAAACTAGTTTTTACGTTGTCGACGTGAATTTAAAAATAATTAACACCGACTAATTTGAAAATAATCTCGAGAAACTACCATTATTTTAACCAATGGGTTTTTTTAATTACTATTTTTTTATTTGATAGGCAAATGCAAATGGGTTTTTTTAATTTTATATTTAATGAACAATTACGCGTATTGTTTTGTTGTTTTTTACAGCTAAGAGAGAGAGTGACGTCAGCCACAGTCCCACAGTTGGACTTTTCAATTTTAAAGCCCGCAACACTTCTCTTCTGTACCTCTAAATAAGTTTAAATACACCACCATTTCTATTTCTTCCAACCATCCCAAAAAACCATCACTCCATTTTCACCCAAATAGACACAAGAGATGCCGTTAAGATTAGCGGTTCTGTTAGTGTTATTGGGCATTGTTGCAGCAGAAGATCCTTACAGATTCTTCAATTGGAATATCACTTATGGCACCATTTATCCTCTCGGAATCGCCCAACAGGTTCCTCTTCTTCTTCTTACATTCAATTTTGTATAATTTAATTCAACCAAAATTTTCAATTATTGATTTTTTTTTATGTATTTTTTTGGGGGGTCAGGGTATATTGATAAATGGGCAGTTTCCTGGTCCTGAAATATACTCCGTTACTAACGACAACATCATCGTTAACGTCTTCAACAGCTTGGATCAACCTTTCCTCATACACTGGTAAGAACCAAAAACACACACACACACACACACTGTGTGTGTTTTCCGTCGTTTTACGATTTGCTTGCTGTAGATCTTCCTTTAGAATTATGCCTGCCTAGGGGAAATGACAATGCTGCCCTTGATGCTTTACTTTTGCACTAAGTTTGGGGAGATTAGCAGTTTATATAATTTAATGATGGATTAGTGGGTTAAGTACCTTTTGGTGAGATTTGTCTCTGCGTACGAAGACATCTGTTTTTTTTGAATTTTTTGATTTTTTATTTTCTGGGTCTGAATATTTTAATTAGATTTTATTACACAGCGTTTATTGGGGAGTGAAAATTGACACGTGCTTGTCACGAAAATAGGGTCCTGAATTTAACAAGATGTGGTGCGAATTACAATGTCCAATAAATACACACACCGAGAATTTAGATGGCTCCTTTTTTTTTTCCTTTTTTTTCTTTTTTTTTTTTTTCATTTTTCACCGACTAATTCAAATATTTTAAAAAATGAATAAAAAAAAGTCACATGGGTAGTTGCATCATAAAGTTGTCACTTATCAAAAAAAAAAAAAAAAAAAATCATAAAGTTGTCATGAACCTCCTCGTTTCTATATATATATATATATATATATATATATATATATATATATATATATATATATATATATATATATATATATATATATATATATATATATATATCATAGTACAGTAGAATAGTACATTCTAGTACAGTATAAGCTCGATAAATTAATAATTGATAAAATAATAACTTCGTTTGAAATTTGAATAATAATTTCTTTAGGTACCGACTCAGTAAAAATATACTAAGTTTTTAGTGCGATAATTTAATATGTTGTTAAATTAATAAAAATTTACCACTTGTATAGTATCAAGTTCTCCAATAAATACAAATTACATTTCCCCAAGACAACAATAATAAGGCTGCTCATTAAATTTTGCTAAATTGGCAGCAGCTAAAACAGCTGGAAAATTTTGTCCCTCCCTTTTCTTTCAAAAATTATAAGTTATTCATTTATTTTTATCATTATTTTTTTAATGATAGAAAATAATAAGTAAAAAAGAAAATGTTGAATAATTACAGGAATGGGATACAGAACAGGAGGAATTCATACGAGGATGGAGTTTATGGGACAACATGCCCAATTCCAGCAGGTGGGAATTTCACATACATTCTTCAAATGAAGGATCAAATTGGAAGCTTCTTTTATTTCCCTTCTTTGGGTTTCCACAAAGCTGCTGGTGCTTTTGGTGCAATTAAGATCCTAAGCAGGCCCTTAATCCCTGTCCCTTTCGATAATCCTACCGATGATTTTAGTGTCTTGATTGGCGATTGGTACACTTCTAATCACACTGTAAGTACCCCCTAATCTCTGCTTAATCCTTAATTCAATTTATGTGTCGGTAACTTAGTGGGCCCATTGGTACAAACACGTATGGGCCCCACCTTTGACTATTGCTTTTGTTTTTTGGGCCATCAACATTTAACAGCTGGATTTTTCTGATTCACCTTTATTATTAAAGAACAAATTAATACTACAACTTTGTCAATTTGGTAAATTCCAAATATATTTATAATATGTTTCAGTAATTATTTAGATAATCAGGATTTTTTATTTATAAGAAATATAGGGGAAAAAAAACACATCAGTTTTTGACTTTTTGTGATTTTGACTAGTAGTGTAAATCGGACGGATCGGATCAGAATTAGCCAGTTAGGAAAAAAATCTGAATTTTGTGGGAAGTGAAAAACTAGTTCCGACTCCGTTCCAAAAAAAAATGGAAAAATTTCGAATCGGAATCGGCGGAATTCGGAAATTTCCAATTTTTTGTCTTTTAGTGTAATATATCCGGAAGAAAATTGGAATTTTCGCAATTATTTTTGGAACTTGAATCGTATCGGAAATTGGAATCTCATATATATTTCAATTCCGGTCCAAATAATTTCGGAAAAATTGGAAGTCAGAATTTCGGAATTCGGTTCAAAAATATTGTTCCAAAATCGGAAAATTCCGGATAGAAATTGACGGAAATCGGAAATTTCGTTCCAATTTCCACCCCTAATTGTAACATACTGGCGTAGAACATTTAATACATTTTCGTTTTATCTATTTTTTTTTCTTTTTTGGTTATTTTGGACGATTATTATTTTATGAAGTAATTAATATTGGTCTTGATCATAACAAACAGGATCTAAAGGCAATCCTTGACAAAGGCAACAAGTTACCATTTCCAGATGGAATCCTCATCAATGGCCGTGGTCCTAATGTTACCTCTTTCACCATTCAACAAGGTATATTCCCATTTTCTACTCTCCGATTATCCCTTCTTCTCGTTTATATATTAAATAAATAAATAAATAATAATAATAACAATGTGATAAAAATTGTAACAGGAAAAACTTACAGGTTCAGAATCTGCAACGTGGGATTACAAAACTCGCTAAACTTCCGAATCCAAGGCCACAAGATGAAGGTGGTGGAAGTAGAAGGGACCCACACGGTCCAAGTTAGCTACTCCTCACTTGACATCCACGTGGGCCAGTGCATGTCGGTTCTTCTTACTGCCGATCAACAACCTCAGGACTACTACATTGTTGTCTCGAGTCGTTTCACCACTCCCGTTTTGAGCACTACCGGCTTTCTCCGGTATGCTGGCTCGAACCGCCCTGCCTTGGGCCCACTACCTGGCGGCCCCACCATCGAAGTTGACTGGTCCCTCAATCAAGCCCGTTCCATCAGGTATACTATTTTTTAGTGGTGGGAACCGGACGGAAATTGCGAAATTTTTTTTCGAAAGTGTAAAACAAATTCCGATTCCGTTCCGAAAATTCGAAACAAACAGAAATTGGATTTTTGAAAATTAAATTTGGAATGAAAATACTTGTTCTAAATAGGAATTTTTGGATATGAATCTACGGAATTCGGAAATTCGAATTTTCTTTTTTCACCTAAAATATAAAATACATAATAATATTGATATTATAAGCTTAATTTTTTGGAAAAAACCCCGAAATTTTTGGATTTTTTTATTCAGAAATAGAAGTCTTATTGGAAATTGGAATCTCCTATATAGTCTAGTTCCGGTTAAACAAAAATCCGAAAAAAAATGGAAAATTTTGGATCGGCGGGAGTCATAAATAAATGCTATTCCGATTCCAATCCAAAATAAACGGAAATCGAAATTTTTGGAATTCAGAATGAAAAATATTATTCCTAAACCGGAAAATTTTGCATTGGCAGAAATCGGAAATTCTTCCAATTTCCACCGATAATATTTTCTATCAAGGAAATGAAATACAAAATACAATACCAAAATGTGCACTAACGATAATATCTTCCGAATTTCAGGACGAATCTAACAGCAAGTGGGCCCAGACCGAACCCGCAGGGTTCTTACCACTACGGCATGATAAACACCACGAGAACTTACAGGCTCTCGAGCTCTGCTGGCCAGGTTGCTAATAAGCAGAGGTATGCACTCAACAGTGTCTCCTTTATCCCTGCCGATACCCCTTTGAAAGTCGCCGACTACTTCAAAATAGACGGTGTTTTTCGAGTCGGGAGCATCTCAGATTCCCCCACTGGTGGAGGAATATACCTCGATACCTCCGTGCTTGGGGCCGATTACAGGGCGTTTGTGGAAATCGTTTTCGAAAACACAGAGGATATTGTGCAGAGCTATCATCTCAGTGGCTACTCTTTCTTTGTAGTAGGGTGAGCACTTCAAAAAAACACATACAAAACACACACACACACGCACGCACTGCATTTTTGGATATTATATGCTGATATATAATATGATCTCTAAACGAACAGAATGGATGGAGGGAAATGGACTTCGGACAGTAGGGCTCAATACAATCTTCGCGATGCAGTCTCTCGATGCACTGTTCAGGTAGGAAGGAAAAAAAAAAACGGAACGAAATGAAAATATATATATTTTTTTTATCACTAAAGATTGCTGATTTATTATTACATCCTCGATTTGCATTTGCAGGTGTACCCCATGTCGTGGACAGCTATTTACGTGGCGCTGGACAATGTGGGAATGTGGAACTTGAGATCGGAGTTTTGGGCAAGGCAATACTTAGGACAGCAAACTTATCTTAGGGTTTACACGACATCCACTTCGTTGAGAGACGAGTACCCTATTCCGAAGAATGCTCTTCTTTGTGGCCGGGCAAGTGGAAGACGAACACGTCCCCTTTAAAAAATATATATATATATTATTAATAAAAGTTTTCCACCAAGCCTAGAGGAATTGAGATTAATTTTTTTAATATCTTTTTAATAGATGATTTTAATTTTGAATTCTTGGGGGTGCTAAATCAGCACCTATATTTATATAATATGGTGTATTTAGGGCTAGCATTGTAATTCTAGTAGTTGTAGCTGTTGTTTTTGAGTTGATGACCTTAGCTCAAGGTCGCATTCTTTCAATTTTCCACTGGATTTTTTGTATCTGGTTTGATGTTGTATTTGTTATTTAATATCTTGTTTGTTATTGCATTTGTTGTTGTATACACAATTGTTTTAGTACGATTAATGGAGTGGCTCTTTTCTCATGTCGGTGTAATTTTGATATGAAATGAGGGGTATTTCCCGACATTTCAGGGCAGACAGGGAGCTCACTATATGTGAAAATTAAAGGCGGAAATGCAGTGTCCAAAGTATAGTATATGAAACCAGCCAAACGGGATTTAAGAGCTAAAACCCCTACAAGAAATTGTTTTAAAATTGAAATATTTGGATCGGAATTGGATAAATTTCAAAATTTAGTAACCTAAAATGTAAAATAAATAATAATGTTGATATTTTAGGTGTAATTTTCGGAAATTAAAATCAGATCGGAATTTCGTATAAATTCCATTTCCAATCCAATTTTTTTTTTTATTAAAATCGGAAATCCGAATTTCAGGATCCCTATGAAAATATATAGTTCCAAAATTGGAAAGTTTTGAATCAGAATGGGCGGAAATCGAAAATTTCGTCTTAGAAGCTTTGCCAAAAATTACTCGGGGATGCAATAGTAAAATGACAGTACTGCCCTTGCCAGCTACCTACCTAGGAGGGTTTGTAATTTAGGTCAAGAATGCAACAATTCTAAAACCGTGGCGCCAAACACTCCCTAGTGAAAAACATATGAACGCCCTTTACTAATTCTTTCTCTGAGACGTGAACGTACGGACTCCGATTCGAGATGACCGACGGTTGTGCGCCGGTTCACAGAAGCAATGAAGACGCGCACGTTAGCTCCGCCACCGAAACCAACAAAGATGACCTAGAATTTCTCAGAGACGCCGTCCGCTCGCTGCCACCACAGCCCGTGAAAGACTTGCTGTTGAACGGAGTTAGTTCCATTCTCGCTATCAACCTTTAATTTCTCTCTCGTCTAATTCTGATTCATAATTATCTAGTGAAATAAGGAATCGCGCATTTAGAAGTGTAAATCGCTAACTGATTGTTTTGGGAGAATAAATAATTTATTCTTCCTAGTTGCTCAAGTTATTTTACTCACCGTACGGTACCTAAATTGAAGATTTATATTGGAATTGGAAGTGCTTCATTTGATTTTTCATATTTGTATTATGTGAATTCAATTAGTGAAGCTTTCATCACTGCTGCAGGTTTGTACACGATGTATTTTCAGGCTATTTTGCCTCCACAAACAAATATGTTCTCCTTCGTCCATGGCAACGCGGAATCTGAGTTCAGTTCTTCACGAATTACGAGAACATGGAAATGGAGCTAATAATGGTGTTAGAGAAACTAACGATTTGACTGACACGGGTTATGTTCAGGAATTTGAGGAGGAGTTTGTTTGCAGGGTCTGTTTAGGAATTTTGCAGTTCGTATATAGTGATGGAAAGGGAGTGTTGGTAGAAAAAAATAATGCTGGCGATTTTGCTGCTACTATTGAAGATGCTGTAAAGAAAGAGGGCCATGAAATTGACAACTTCTGTCTCGAAGTTTCACTGCCCCCAATTGTAGTCGAAAAGGAACAAGCAGTTTGGTTAGTGATATTGATTGGTCAATTTGATTTGGTTTATGATTATGATGCTGGCAGGAAACCCGTTCGGTTTGGCTGATCTGCTCAATTTATATGAACATCGTTATGTTTGTTTCAGGTCATATATAGAAAAGAAGTATAGTTCTGAATCGTGGTTCTCCGAAAAGTTTCCCTCTGAAAGAATTGGCGTGAAAGATTTTCTGAAATTGTCTGTGGCAAATCCTTTAGAAAAATTGTTGGTAATTCTATTTCAGATTTTGTCGTTGCACTGAAATTCTTTCACTGAAAACAATATAATGTGTCAGGTGCTGATTTCTTCTTGTTTTTCTGTATAAATATTGGGGTATTTCAGGATGTAAAATCTAATGGAAGTTCGTTCAGAATTTGTTTGACATATACACTTTCTGATGCATCATCAAAGATCGAGCCCCTTCCTGAGAGCAATGGGTGCTCTAAGAGGAGGAAAATAGGCAGGTTCTTTATTTTTGGGTTTCCCTTCGTTTTTCCGATTGAAACTCTATGTATTCTTGCATCGACATCTTTAATGCATACATGTAAATCTAGCCATGGGGCAATAACAGAGTCTTTATTTTTGGATTCTGCACATTTTAAATTCCTCTTTGATGGAACAGATGATAGTGATGTCTTGAAGAACTGTACTGGCTTGCATGAAGTTGAAAAACATAACACTGTTACAAATTCTTCGATTGAGTCGGTAGATGAAGGGAATGGTTTCTTACCGTTCCCACTAGAGAAGGTACATTCAGAGTCATCGTTCACATAGTTGAGTTAAATGCTTAAAGAGCTTGCTACTTTGTACATTTCTTGCTTGTGAGCTTCTGAGAATACTGGATTATATACTTAAGATGATTATTGAAAACTTTGTTATTTTCAGGTCAATAACTGCTGCTCCTTGATCAGCCAATGCTACAAGACTTCTATCTACGTGGGCGGGAGATATCTTAAGGTTCAATAACTCTATTTATGTAACATTAGACAATAGTTGATCTAGAAATTGTTCTCTATTTGTTCTCCTATTTCCTATTATATACCATATGTCACTAGCAGAAGCGTTTTAGTAAATGTCATGTTCATTTCAAGAGACTATTGCCCTTTTCCATCTCTTTAATGCTCACCAGCTCAACTGAGATCGGGATGATATTTTCTTTCTGAAAACGTAGAATCACGATGTTACTCTTTCTAATGCAGTACTCTAGAAATGTCAGCCAGTCACGTTGGATTATTGATGATGAGCGAATGGGTGAAGCATCTGTTGAGGTAAAGAAGCTTCTTCTTACTTGTAGTTGCAATTTTGTAAATAATAATGCGGAACGATGATAAAACATTGTGGATAAATGTTTCATCACCTTCGTGCAGGAAATAATTGGTGGCAGCATCCTTCCAATCTGTCAGGGTGACAGTTATAAATTCCATGCTGCCGGCAGAGAAGATATCGATGTAGGAAATATAATCTCTTTATCAACTTCTGGCAACAGACACTTACCACATTCTTATTTGACTTGCTCTGTCTATCTATCTATCAATGCAGGTCCGTATGCTAGGTACTGGGCGGCCCTTTTTGGTTGAGATCCAAAATGCACGTCAATTCCCTTCTGATGTGTTAATAAAAGATATGGAAATGAAAATAAATAGCCTGGAAAGAAACCTTGTGAGTCCTATTAAACAACGATTATTTTGTGACAATTATTATCTCCAGAATGCTTTGTGACGGTGTATATTATTTTCTTGGATGTGCAGGTAAAGGTAAAGAATCTCAAATTCTTAGGTAGTCAGGGTTGGGTGATGATGCGTGAAGGAGAAGCAGAGAAGCAGGTAGGAAACTCTTTTATTTGGTAGTCAAACTGCTGTTTCGATTTTTAGGGCAGAGTTCAATCTTATGAGTGAATGGTACTAAAAAAAATTAATTAATTTTCTGCAGAAACAATATGCTGCACTTGTGTGGATTTCTCGCCCCCTTAACGATGATGATGTACTGTCATTATCATCCTTCAAGGACATGGTAAACATTCGTCTGGTTATACTTATTGTATAGATTATTTGTTGAATGTTATATGCCACAATGTCATTGCTCATTGACAATATCATGTAATAAATGATTTTATTTCCATGTGCAGCAAATTTTGCAGAAAACGCCAGTAAGGGTTCTCCATCGTAGAAGTCCGTTGGGGCGTGAAAAAACCATACACTGGTATGTATATGTTAAATTAACAATCTTGCCCGCATGGGTGTAGCTCAACTGGTTCCGGAGGTGGTAAGTTGGTGCAAGGTCCTAGGATCGAATCCTGGCAGCCGCAGTGTGGAATTTCAACTCCAAATGAGGGTTGGTTCCTTGTGGGCACCAGGTCCGGGTCCGCTACCTTAACGGGCCGTTGAGTTACCATGATTTACATCCTCCATCAATCTTTGTCGGGCCAAGGGATGGGGGCCCTTGGGGCGAGGGATTCGCCTTTTTGGTGCAAATTAACAATCTTCAGTACATTTTTCCATTTATATTTACTTGTACTCGTTGTTTCAGGATGAAAGTAGAGAGAGTAGCTGGAAGTTCTCAATATTTCATGTTGCATTTATGCACACAGGTTAAGTATTTATTTTATTCTTATATAAAGAATGATTGAACATTTTTGCTTCATATTAAAAACGAGGCCAACTTCCTCAACTCCTTGCATAATAATTACAATGAAAATCAGCAAAATTACTAATGATAACCATGTTTCAATCCAGGCTGGAACATACATCAAGGAATTTGTTCATGGTGATCTTGGACGCACACAACCTAGGTAATAAATTGAAGGAAAGATTCATCAAAAGAAATATCTTTTTCTTTGCACTACTTTGTTACCGTCTTTACGTTTACTATGCTGTAATTTTTTCAGTGTTGGGTCAATTCTGGGATGCAGAGCAGAAATACTGCAACTCGATGTCACAGATGTGAAGATGGATTGCTTCCAGACGTAAGTGTGCTTACTCTATGTAAACCTCAAATTTCTTTTTTTTCACTTTTCTTGGAATTTTTACTAGGTCCTTGTACTTTGAATTTATTTTTTATTTATAAGTTATATACACGAGATTCAGAAAGATCGTAAGATAGACCGTGATTGTTTAGAGAAAAACACACCGAGTTTCCCCTAATAAGCACTGTTTATTTTGTAAATACTTTCCAAAAGCGATTCAGCAGTACCGGCATCATCTAGTCAATCCATATAGCTTCCACCATCTTTGCCATGAAACCATATCTATCTGCAGCTTGATCAATCTGAAAATACCATGTTTTTGTAAAGGTTAATTCAGTCAATAAAAACACATGTGTTTCACATATGTTGTCATTTGTTACAAATATTTACCAATTTCTGAGTTGGCATTCCGCATCCATGCCCTGCCTTACGTTCTATGCGCCCGATAATCGGATTAGTTTGATGATTTTTCTCCGAGCTCGTGCATAAAACATGCTGCATTGTCTGTTATGACCAAACAAATTAAGTAACCAATAAGTCAATAAGTGTTACAAACCAAACAATATATATAAACAGGGCAGGAAAATATTAAATAAAAATATGTAACCCACCGCTAATAACTTGAGTGAGTGCAGCGGCACAACACGATCGTCATGGTCGGCCGTCAACAACATAGTTGATGGATACTGAGTCGTCTTATTAGATGGCCTTCGAACATTATGCAATGGCGAGTATCTAACACAGACAATTAAATGACAAAAACGACCTTAAACATAATTTGTAAGCCTGGTAATGTTGCTAACTAAAAAAAAAGAAAAAAAAAACTCACTTGATTAGCCAATGGAACTCTTCCTCCCTGTCTGAACAGCCAAAGTCTGATGTCCATGCATGACCTGATTTAAAGGGGAAACAATTTAAAAAAACAATAGAACAAATAAAATTAAAAAAAGAAAAAGAAAAAGAAAAAATCAATTGCCTTACCAATAGTGAATTTATGAAACCTTAACATATCCATAACACCAACATGAGCAAGAGCACAGCCAAAAAGATCAGGCCTCTGCAATCACAAAACATCCCACTCGTTTTATTTTATTTTTTCGTTTTTTTCAGATCGCATAATAAAATAAAATAAAATATTATCACATTTACGTGTTACGAATAAATACCTGATTAATACAAGCTCCGACAAGGAGGCCACCGTTGCTTCCACCTTCAATACACAACTTTCTCGGCTGAGTATAACCAGACGAGACAAGATACTCTGCAGCGGATATAAAGTCATCAAAGCAATTTTGCTTCCTCGAAAGGGAACCAGCTTTATGCCATTCTTTCCCATACTCACCACCTCCACGAATGTTCGCAAAGCAAAAGACAACGTCTAAATGCTTTGCGATCAAAATTCGATTAACGAAAAACTGTGGAGTAACACTGACGTTAAATCCTCCGTATCCGTACAGTAAACAGGGGTGTGACTGATCCATGCAAATTCCCTTTCTAGCCACTATAAACATCGGAATCTTAGCACCGTCTTTACTCGCCACAAATACCTGGAAGAAGAAACAAAAAAGGATCGATCGGAATTAGCACTTTCGGAAAATTTTCAAAAAAAAAAATCGGAAGTAAAAAACTAGGTCTAAAATTGGAAAATTTTGGATCAAAATCAGTGGAATTTGGAAATTCTCTGAAAAGAATCAGAATCATCGGAAATATTTTCGTAAATAAAATCGAACAGAAAATCAAAATCTAATATGTATTCCAATTCCGTTCCAAAAAAATGGGAAAATCGGAATTTGAAATGAAAAATATTGTTCCAAAATTGGAATTTTTTGGATCAAAATCTGCGGAATTCGGAATTTCCGTTCCAATTTACACCCCTAATTAATAGTATTACCTGTTTGACTTCGAAATGAGTCCTGTCAAATCCAGGAACAACGATTTCTCGGAATATTTTAATATCCGGGACCTCAGCTTCAAGATTGCATGCATATATAATGCCCGGTACAAGAAAGCTCGAAAATCCAATAAAGACGATCTTGTCCTTCCGACGGGAAGAGATCTCGGAAACCGTTCCGATTTCGAGTGGTAAACGGTGCAAAAGGGCACCCGTTTCCAAATCCCTCAACTGCAAAACATTTTTCACATGGCTCAAATAATTTACGACTATTTGACTTCCATTGACCGCCACAGCAGACTGAAGCACATCCTCTCCATCTTCTCGAAGCACCTCAGTCCAAAAATTAGGATCGTTTAAATCAACTCGTACGAGCTTGTTTCTTGGAGCGTCCTTGTTAGTAAGGAATGTGAAAATCGTGTCGTCGTTCGCAATATAGTGATAATTAGCGTCGAACGTATCTACAAGTTTTACGAAGGGTAGCAATATGTCCTTTTTGCCCTTGTAACTTTTGAGTCCTTCCGGAAGACCCGACATGTTGCAGTAGTATATCTTGTTGACCGGATCGCAGTTTTCGTACGTATAGAGAAGAACATACTGCAACCAAAAAAAAATTAAAAGGGAAATGAATTAGTTGAAAAATAAATCGAAATAATGAAAATTAATTTAAATACCTTCCCATCTTCTGTGACGGAAGCAGAACGAGTATGCTTAGGATTATCGGGATCACTCCAACATAGTATATCTTCCGATTGATTCGTGCCTAGGAAGTGATAATAAAGCTCGTGGTGTAAATTGGAATTTATCTCCGTGCCAGCATCCAATTTCTCTCCATCCCTTTAGACACAAATCATATATATATTTTGTTCAAATAAAAACCAAAAAATGTAAATAATGAAATATATATATATATATATATGACTTACTCGGGAGCTGGATAACGGGTGTAGAAAAAACCGTTGGTGTCATGTGTCCAACTAATACTAGAGAACTTCACCTGTAGTAAATAATATACATGAAAATCGAATATATATATGTATATATGTATATATATGTATGTATAGTGAAATTGCGAAAATTTACCCATGAAAGAGTATCGGGCTCGATGCGCTTGTCTTCGATCTGCATAACTTTAATGGTAACCCAATCGCTACCACTAGAACTAATTCCATAGGCTAAGTACTTTGCATCAATGCTAACTTCATACGCACGTAACGAAAGTGTACCATCGTCACTTAACGAGTTTGGATCGAGCAAAATCTCCGGTTTTCCATCCAAACTATCCTATATAAATTTTTCAATGTAATAATATAAAATTCCGTAACTTTGAAAAATGTAATTTATATGTACAAAAGCTATTATATATACCTGAATATAAAGAACTCTTTGTGGTTGTAAACCGGTGTTATGGAAGTAAAAATACTTGTCGCCTGCCCTAAACGGCGCGTCGTATTTGGGGAAATCGTATAATTCCGTAAGCTTTTGACGAATTTTTTCCCTCGCTTCGCATGTTTTAAGTACGGAATCCGTTAGTTTCGTCTGCTTCTCGACGAATTCTTTCGTCTCTACGGAATCGGCGTCTTCGAGCCTGGACACATTAAATCGTAAACAAATATTTAACTGAGGGATCCATTTAAGGTTGTTGAACTAAAAAAAATTCATTACAAAAACATATATATATATATATATATGATTAGATTAAATTACCATCGATAAGGGTCGGAAACCATGACGCCGTGATAATTATCGACAATGGACTCGTCGCGACGAGCGGTGGGGTAAATTGGATGCTCGCCGGCGGCGGCGGATAGGGATCCCATATCTCTGCAAAAATTAAACGTTAGTTGAAGAAACTCAGAAAGTGGTTATGGAGGTTTGTTTAAACTGTTTGTTTGAAGAATTTAAATTTATGTAACGGTCTTTAAACACACGTGTGTGAGGAAAATGACAGAATAATGTTGACACTCTGTGGGAAATATGTTGCCATAATTTTGGAAAGTTGTGGGGCCGGGTGGGAATTATGTCGTCATGATTTGGTAAAGAGCAGGGTTTTACTTTTTGGGTTTTATTATTATGACGTCATATTGGAATCTTTTTGACATTTTTTTTGTTTCCCTTTTAGGATTCGTTTTTATCTGGGAAATATACTCCCTTCTTTCTCATGCATCGTTTTCAGTTCGATCATCGTGTAATAAATTAGTTTTGTCTAATTCTTTTTTTAATTTTTTTATTTATAAGAAATTCGAATATAGAGAATATTCTCTATAAAGTCAAATTTTAAATAGTATTGAAGATTTGGAATGCATACACATACCTAACTCTAAACATGGATTTTTCATTTCATTCCCATCAACCATTAGTATTAGAGATATGCAATATTTTCTTGTAAATTAAATACTAATTTAATTTTATCACTCATAAGAAAAAAAAAAAGAACATAAGAAAAGAAAAAAGAAAAAAAAGGCTATAATTCTAAAGGCCCAAACACAAGAAATAGCCCTTTTGAATTTTATTGGACTTTCTCACTCTATTTTTCAAACGGTTGTATTAAAGAACAAAGCCCATTTTAAAACCTTTCAGTCTGTCCTGCTTTATTATTTCCACAAATAATATAACAATTAAAAAAAAAATTGACCGGAAATTTACATATTTATATATAAAACTGTTTGTATTAATTCCCAAATATTAATGTTCTGCGGTTATGTATCATAAAGAAATCCCAACAAACTTAATAAATGCATATATGCATTACATTGATACCATACCACTTTACGAACGTAACACTTCACAAAATAACTAATTTTAATAAAAAAATAAAAAAAATAATTTATTGTGCAACAAGAACCGAAATAATAATTTATGAGCATTTACACTTTTATGAATTGCTCTCAATTACATTGCACCAAACCTCTGCCGCTTTATATTCAAAATGTTGAAACCAAGCTTTAAATTTTGAGTTGAGTGGCTATTGAAATTTAATGTCTCTGATAAAGTAACACCAACTATCATAAGGTAATTGTTGTGATTTTTCCTCCATTTATTATTTTAACGCACTGAGTGAATCATAATTAATTTGGAATTAAACATAAATAAATTAATCTACTGTATATATATATAATATTATGACCAAATTGCGGGATTAAAGCGCGGGAAAATAATTGTCTGGCCGCCGCAGAACAAAGACGGCCACCATCATGTGACGGTGGGGCTGCCGGCCAACGCCACTTAGAGCCATCAGTAAAATTTATGTATATATAATGAATCAGTAAAATTTTATCTACCAACAATTACTAATTTCTTACTCCACGCGCCTTTTGCTACAGAGTAATATACTTTTTGCTTTATTGTTTCTCACTTTATTTTTTTTTTTCCAGTTCTCCCTCTCAAATCTCAAATCATTCCATTTTCACACACACACACACACACACCTAGCTTTTCAGTTTCCACCGTGCCTGCCAGTTTGACGTTGAAATTGTGCCGTTGAAGCAGTGGATTGGTGTAATTTTAACTTTTGTTTTTGATTTTCAGTTCCAATTTAGAGTAATTGTAGTCGTTTAGGGGATGGATCACTTTCTCGTTTCGCAGTCCGACGATGAGTTCGATGAGCTAGATTCGCGCCGTTGCGACGACGGTTACAGCCTGAGCGCCGACGTCAGTGAATCGGAGAGTTCGACTTCGAGCGCGGACACATTTTCTTCTGATCGCCGGCGAGCTTCGGCCTGCACGGCAGTGTCTCCGCTTGAATTACCTTCCAATTCCGAGTGTTTGTTGCCGCCTCCGATCATGTTGCCGGTTGTGGGGGGTAGACACGTCATATTTCCTGCGGAGAAGCCTGGTAGAGATAAACCTGATCGAACTGAATCGACCGGTAAGCTTCCGATTTTCCAGGTATACAATCAACGTACATTTAGTTCTAAACCATTAATTTTAAGTAATTGCGTTTGAAATGAAGTGCCAATAAACAGAAACGCACATTAATTCACGTATGCCCAATTTTCATTTTTTTTTTAAATCATGTAATCCAGATTTATTTTATCGTATTCGGTTGTTTTCTCTTTGCGAGAAACGGTGTGACAGTACAATAGCTTTTGCAATTATTTTGTAGTCGATCATAAAATCATAATTAAGTTCATCCGAGATGCCACTATCTAGAATCAGAGAAAAGTGTTGTTAAGTTTTTGTATTGGATTCATCATTTCTGATTGAGATATTGCTTGTGTGAGTACAGAGGCTGAACTGATGAAGGAAAGATTTGCAAAGTTGTTGCTCGGAGAGGATATGTCCGGTGGCGGAAAGGGCGTAGGTACTGCTCTCGCAATCTCCAACGCAATCACTAATCTCGCAGGTTTTGTATATTCAACGAACTGGATTACACCATCCTTTGATTCATTAATACTTACTTATAGTTCTCGATTACAGCTAGTGTTTTCGGAGAGCTCTGGAAGCTGGAGCCGTTGGCCCCACAAAAAAAGTCGATGTGGCAGAGAGAGATAGAGTGGCTATTGTGCGTTAGTGATTCCATAGTCGAGCTTGTTCCGTCAGTTCAAGAATTCTCAGGCGGTGGTAGCTTCGAGATTATGGTGGCACAACAAAGATCCGACTTATACGTGAATCTGCCAGCACTCAAGAAACTAGACGCAATGTTAATTAGCATCTTAGATGGATTCCACGACACTGAATTTTATTACGTTGACCGTGGGACAGTTGTTGCTGACGGTGAACGCATTATCGAACCATATCAATGTTCACCTTCTCGTACAAGGCCGTCCGTAACACTTGAAGAAAAATGGTGGCTGCCGTTCCCTAAGGTTCCAGCAAATGGTTTGTCCGAAGAAACGAGGAATCTATTGCAACACTTCAAGGAGTGCGCTCATCAGATTTTGAAAGCTGCTGTGGCAATCAACAGTACTGTGCTTTCCGAGATGGAAGTGCCTCAAGTTTACTTGGAAAGCTTGCCAAAGGTAAGGGCTTTATCGACTTTCAGAGTTTCCTGGTTGTGTTTTTGTCTCGACCTGTTCTTCCTCATGTATTAATTAATGTATTGTTTTATTTCAGAGCGAGAAAGCTTGCTTAGGAGATATACTCTACCGCTATATAACTCATGATCAATTCTCCCCCGACTGTCTTCTTGATTACCTGGATCTTTCTTCGGAATATAGTACTTTAGACATAGCAAACAGGATTGAAACTGCCATACACTTTTGGAGGATGAAATATCAAAAGAAGAAACTAAACAACACAAAAACGGGCTCGTTTTGGGGCAGCACTGTGAAGGGCCTCGTTGTTGATGTAGAAAAGACTAAACTCTTCGCCCATCGAGCCAATGTCCTCCTAAAGAACTTGAAGTTGCACTTCCCTGCTCTGCCACAAACTTCTCTGGACATGACCAAGATTCAGTATAACAAGGTATACTCGATTTTTTTTCACTTATTTATATACTTTTACGATAATGATGACTGTTCCGAGTATATATAAGTGACGAAAAATTGTAATTTCGATTGTTATATGTAGGATGTGGGGCAGTCAATACTCGAAAGCTATTCTAGGGTAATTGAGAGCTTAGCTTTTAATTTGATGGCAAGGATTGACGATCTTTTATATGTGGATGAAGCTACGAAACGACGCGCAATAGCAGAGTCAATATCCATGCTCAAGTGGAATAATAACCAAAATTCTCGCGGTTCGTTTTCTGACGGAAGCTCGCTTTCGTATTCATCGTCACTTCTTGGTTCTCCGTTCCGTTACTTGGTTCCAGTGACTCAGCGGCCCAAGAGATTGCGCCGTTCAGTAAGCCAGCCTGCTTCTGCCAATTATTATAATCAAGTAGATTTAGAGAATCTGACTTTGTGATTGATAAATCCAGAAACAAAGAGCAAATGGAGGCCTAATTGAATAGAATGACTCCACATTGCATCTGAAGTAGAAGTTATGATTAACCGAGCTTGGATACTAAACGGTAGTTTACGGATGCGTCGATTGTTCGAGATATATGTTTCTTTAATCTATTACGTACTTGGAAGCATCTCAATTAGTTGCCATTGGCAAACAAAAGAAAATCTAATGCACGAAAAATAAAATAGACTCCAAAAACTGGAATGTCAAACTCGTGTCTATCAATACTCGTGTGAATATATTGACTGGCCATCTCAATCGAAAACTTAACGATCGATCTTCAAGCAAAAAAAAAAAAAACACCATGCCATATACGAGTATACAACACATGCATGGTTTCCTCGAAGTAACACCACATTATATTACCCATATTTTATGATTATATTTCAGACACAAAAAAATGAGCAATGATATGTGATTGGATCAAGAATTGTAAACATACTCAACGTTCCAACTTAAGTATAAATGTATATATATTTGGGCTTGGGGAAGAGAGAGGAGAGCTGATTGGTGGGCTTTATGGGCCTTATAGTCTCTACGGGCCTTTGCCAACTTAGCCCGGATCAATATACGAATAGCCAATAATCTTCGTGCACTATTTGAAATATTGAATATATATTATATAAACCCTACTTTAGAAATTAAAAATTAAAATTAAGTTCTACTGATATATTAGTTTTCACATATTCAATTATTATAAAACAAATCTTTACATGTACATCTATATTTTATTGTTAAAAAGTTTAGTTCGAAATTAATAGTATTATTATATTATTTCAAGAGACGTATACTATGAGTATATTACATTGTATTAATCGATAGAGTCCCCAATCATGAATGTTCAGATTTGAATATAGTAGGGATGTGTTCTACACTTGATCAGCATTTAGCAACTATAATATTTATGTAGTACAACTTCATTTAATTTGTAAATAACACTCCCTCCATTTCAAAATTTCAAAACAACAGTTACCTCAAATTTCTGATACAAATATTAAAAATATAATATTAACAAGTACAAGTATGGAATAAAAATAAGTAATACAACATTTGTATATATTCTAAAGTTAAATATAATATAAAAGAAAGAAAAAATGAACAAATAATTAAAAAGGAAAACTGAAGTGTAATAATAATATGGAGTGAGGTTGAATTAGAAGATTTGACTGTCAGTGAAATTCACAGCAACGGAGCCCAAGAAACTTAAATGGGGGTGGTGAAGCTGGAATATAGACAGATAGTAGTGTGTTTGCAATAATAAATTAATTGTAAATGTCAGTGTTTCAATCATGAGCCTCTACGTATATACCAACGCCCTTCTGCTCTGCAACCACAAAAGTTTATCTTTTCCCTTTCATAATAATATTATTCTTTTGCCCTACCACCACCACCATCTCTCTTACTGTGTATCTATATCTCTCTTACTAACAAAAAAAAATTGCATATGCAAAATAACCCAAATCAAGAAACAAGGAAAAATGAGATCTTGAACCCCAGAAAAGGCAATGAACAAGAAAATAATACTTGGTAAAATATTCTGCCGCGGCTTGCTTTTCTTGATTGAAAGCCTCAAATTTCTCATTATTTCCTGGCTTTTTACCTTTTAACTAATTTACAAAGATTTAGGAAAAAGAAGGATTTCTTCAAACAGATTTAATCAAATTCAGATATAAATTAACAAAAAGATTAGGGGGGGGGTGTGGGAGCCATTAGGGTTCCAAAGTACATATCCACAACTTCAGACACAGCAAAATACAACTGTATAAGGGAACTGAATTAAACATGGCATGTAAGAAAACCTAAGATTCGTGCATGTAAGAAATCAAACATGAGTTTCGAGAAATAAAAATGAACAATATATATGCACAAGATCCCCATATATGATATATATACATGTACATATACATATACCTTGATCTGAGCTGCTGCAAATAAGTAAGAGGTGAGAAAGCAAAAGCAAGTTTCACGAGGGTTTTGCAAAGAGAATCCAACACAGCTCAGTTGGCAGTATGCCCACCTCCTCCACAACAGACAATATAAATCACTTTTTTTCTTCTTTTTATAATCTAGTTCTTATCTTTTACTTCAAATTAAAAGAAAAAGAAATCCATATAGAGCAGGAGGTGGACAGAATGCCAATAAACTCTGTAAGAAACCCTTTGACAAACCCACCATGAATTCATTTCATCAAACACCAGCAACTTCGACCCTCAGACCCTTATACCACAAGATTCAACAAAAACTACAACACACACACACACACACACACACATGAAAGAGAAACTAGGTTGTAATAATAAGAGAATATGGGAGAGAAGGGCAGATGAGGGTGGGGACTATTTAATATGTGAGATGTGTGTGCAGTACAGTAAATAAGAGAGAGAAAGAGAAAGAGAAAGAGAAAGAGGAGAAGAGGCCAGGTTTTTCAAGCTGTGAATGATTATTAATAGGAGTGGTGTTTAATTAGTTCAAGATTTGGACAACACGAGAGAGAGAGAGAGAATGGTAGTGCTAAATAAAGCAGATTGGAATGTTCATTCTTGGCCATGTTTTTATACTTAAACTTGCTCAAGGTAAATATAATCAAAGAATCCTCATAGTAATTATATTCTTTGCCCCCCACCCCACCCCCCCTTAAATTAAAAAAAAAAAAAAGAAAAAGAAAAAAAGACATCGATGGATATCCTCGTTTGTGATGAAACCTTCGTATCATGAGTATGATCATAATAATCTCTTCACCTTCCCCACCACTATTAGACAGACGACTTTTTCTCTATCCTCGTTTCTGATGAACACACAACAAACCGCCCCTCTCTCTATTTCTCTCTCCCTCTCTCTCTAAAAAGGGATTAAAGACTTAAAAAGGTCTTTAGGTTTTGGGCTGATGACCTACGAAAGAGGAAACTTGTTGCTTATTTATTTATTTATTTTTGACCTAAGTTTACAGAATTATCGATTTCTGTTGCCACTACTTAACTTTCTCTTCTTCTTTTCTAATCCCTTTCTACTTTCTACTATCAATCAAAACCACCTTACTTTTTGTTTTCTAAAATTAATAATTTCACCATGTTCATTTTTTTGGGATTTCAGGCTTTTGTGTCCTAAATTTTCTTTTTTTCGATGCTCACCGAAAAAAAAAACATTTGAACCAAGTGTAAAGAGATCAATGATGTATCCATCACATTTTAAAATTAAACGTTGTTTAAGAGTTGGTTATAATTATTATCAAAATTAATATATATTATGAAAAATAATTAATGCAATATTAATAACGTGACAGGGTAATATGAAACAAGAAATGTTTATAAAAGGGATAATTAGTGGGGAAAACCCCCGTTTTGGAAATTGCATTGAGATAGGTTCAGTACTATTTGAAAGTAATTAGTGATAACCCCTTCTTATGTTTTCTGAATTAAACTGAAAGTAAATCGCCTATGTTGTTTGTGTAGCTGATTTATTTATTAATCGACTATAGTTGATTAAAATATTAAAGTGTATATATTAGATCTAAAAATAATAAATTAACTATAAAATAAATTACATAGTTAATTTATTAATTGATGACAGAAAAAACTCGAGTGTACTTGACAATGAGAGAGTGCCAAGCGATATGTTGGTCGGGGACGTAGAGAAATAGTATACGGGAGGAAGGCTATTTCAATTCCGACTATGAAATTGTGTGATTTCCTATTTGAAAAAAAATACTCAAATAAGTGTTGACTTTAGTGATGGAGGAATCAAGGGCTAGACTAGAAGCTTCATAATTTGAAAAAGCCCTAACATGTCATGTACATTTTCTTTTCACAACAATAATGAAGATAATTAATTAAAGGGAAGAAAAATATATAATGCAATAATTAAGAAGATAATTAAATATCCCTTTTCCAAGAACCCAATGAAAGAAAAAACTCCCTTTCTGTCAAGTGATATGTCACACTCATCACACCCACAAGCCCACGCCCTGCACTCCCACTGTTTTTTTTTTTTTCCCTCCATTTATAGGACGACTATTTACTTTCTTTTTCTTTTTATCCTTTTTGTATTATCATAAGTTGTTTTAGCATTAATTACATTTAACTCCCTCCCACCATATATATATATATATATATATATATATATATATATATATATATATATATATTCAAACTTATTCTTACACTCACAAATTAAATTATTATTCAACGTACTGTTGTATTTATTACACTTAGTTGTAAATGTAGTATTCGTCTGTAAATTTTGCTGTTTGTGTTGTGTATTGATTACCATCATCTCATGTGTCGCACTCCTTCTATTTATTGCCCAACTACTACTACACCCTTTGCATGCACTAGTCGTTACTCTTTACTTATTTGCTTTATTTCCACAACTAACACACAGATATATCATTAATTAATTAATTATTAACCATGCATCAATTGGTTTTCATTTCAAATTAAAGTACTTAATTAGGGCTTAGTAGGAATAAATGTTACTCATTTCTGATTAAACACTAATACATTATTCCTACTACCTGGCCTATATATAGTACTAATTAATTCATGAGCTTACTGATCATTTAATAATTAAATATATATGTGGTGACTGCATGCTGACTTTTTTACTATAACGTACTAAAAGTCATTATATTTTACTGATATATAATTGTTATTAAAATGATTGAGAGCCTATCGCCCAAGTCACGTGAGTAAAGAGTGGTGGAGAAGATGGACAATGATGGCACATGTAGTTTTGTATTTTGAATGTTTTGAGAATCAAGTATGTGTGTGTGTGTGTGAGAGAGAGAGAGAGAGAGAGAGAGAGAGAGCAGTGTGTGTATACGTTGAGTTTCAAGAAATAAATGATGAGGCCGATGACCATGGTTATGTTATGATGGTGTGATGGCCCAATTTGGCTTTTGCATCTCTCCACCATATAATTTAGTATCAATTAAAATATAAATAAATAAAATCTCCATTATAGAGATCACATGGATAAGAGATTTTAAAACATAAATAAATATTAGTTTAAAATTCCTACACTGGCCTATAATCAATTATACAAGGAGAAATACGAAATATTATTGACCTAGAAATTCTCAATTATAATATTCATTGACTAAACTTTACCCTTATTTTCACATTATTCGATCTCTCTAAAATTCTCAATCTTATTTTGTTTTTACTTTTATCTAAATATAGTAAGATTATGTAACAGTAGAAACTACCATTGCCAAACCCACGTCGTTTTGAAGAAGGCGTTGCAGTCTACTTATAAACGCATGTATCTATGACGCGACTTTGGAAAGGAGGGAGTGAATAAAGAAGGAGCAATAGGAGAGAGACACGTGGACAAATAAATTTGACAGAAAAACTATTACTTGGGTGTACTCCCTTCGGCCCAGCCCAAAAACCCTACTATCTGTTGAGCCCATCTGACAAAGCCCAAAAAATTGGTTTGCGGTAATTTGGGCCGGGAACCTTATTCAATTGTGTTGGAGACTCATCCGTGTTTTCTCCGTGTCGTCGTTTCTGTGTCCACGCTACATAGATTCGAACTCTATTTTTCCCCCTTTTAATTTCCACTATAATTAGTGATTATGCAAAGAAAGATCTTCATTTGATTTTAAATCGGATGCAATAATTCAAAGTGTTTTAATTCTTCAAATAAAAAGACTTCATTCATTTATTTATACTATTTTTGGGGCTTAAAGTTGTATATTACATATTTGTCCCTTTGGCCTTTACTACTCGTCTATAAATCCAAATTTAAGTATATTTTCTATATTTTACGAAAATAAATAGAAAATTAAAAATTTATTTTGCAAATACATTACCTATACAGAATTTATTTATTTTTTAATTAATTAATATAAAGAAGGAGTAATAAATAAGGGAATCTTTGTCCGATAGCAAAACATAAAAGCAGGCAGGCATGCATCCCTCCCTCCTTGTGTTGGCAAACAATTTGTTGCAGAGATTCTCTTTTTTTTCTTTCCTCCATAATTGAATTATTTGCAGTGTAACTTGCTCTTCATATTTATGACTCTGCCCAACAATCCCACTTCTCACATTTACTCCCCTCAACTAACTCTTCTTTTTTTTCTTTTCTTTTTTCTTTTTTGAGAGTAAGAATTTACAGCCATACTCTCTATCCACAAAGTAGCAGATCCTCCAAAGGTGAAATGGGGAATCAAATAGTTCAGTAACTGTAATAAATGTTCACCACCCACAAATTAGAAAATTAAATGATTTTAAATTTATACAAGGACAAGTCTTATCAGCCTAGCCCGAGGGGAATCGTTTTCGCTTTGCAAGTTTTGCTCTATGACTAATTAAAATTAAAGAGAGACGATCGAGTTAATCGGTTAATCCCGTAGTTGTGGATTTAATTTTGAACTATCATGTACTTTAGCGGTATATGTTTTGTGTTCAAGTTCCGGAAAAATAAAATTCTGGAAAGTATTCGTAAATTATGTGCACTGCCTTTTATCATAAAACACAAAATATTCGTAAAATAAAAGATGAAATAATTTTTAAGAGGGAATTAATTATGTTAGTTTTAAAACGAAGACAAACGTTCAATAATCTGTACAAATTACAATTAACACTAAAAATGGATGATATAGTATTGCAATTAATTACCATTGACCTAGTACCTGCAAAAACTCGATCGAGTCGAAAACGAAACTGAGTTCGTAACCCTTAGAGCTGCAATTACAAACCCTTAGAGCTGCACCTGATCGAATTGAATTAGGAAATTAATTATATATTTGTTTATAATAACGGACTACTGCAACAACTCATCGTACGTGGTTTAATTTGTTCAATGTGGTTTACAATTCGTGTGATTTTCGGAGTTAATTAGCCGATGCTCATTGCTCACTTGTTACTGCAAATTCCTTCGTCAACAAAAAAAATAAAAATAAAAAAAATAAACAGAGTGTAACATCTAACCTCGAGCGAGAGATAATTGAATTATTGGCATTCGTAATAGGAAATACACAATACAACAATCATAAATGAAGAAGGCATTAAGATATTGGCGCGGCTCAATCAGAAAAAAACAATATAACCATTAGCCTTTTTTTTTCGTGGCAGTAGAGTATATAAAGATTTTAATCTCTGAGTGAGCCGAGCCAACACCATAACGACTATTTCAGCCAACGCCGAAAGCGCAATAATAATCTCTTTTTTGTGTTTTTTTTTTTTTTTTTTGCCCTTGAATATTTTTGAATAACAAATAAGAAATGGTGAATGAGATGAATCGTTTAAGAAGGAAGAAGAGTGGTGTGTTATGCTATGGGTGCATTTATAATCCCTGACGTGCTACCAAACACACGAGAGAAAGGAAAAGAGCCAGGGGTATTAATGGCAATTAATACTCCCTTAGAGACAAAATATATTCCCCTTTTTTTAATCTTAATATTTGTTTGATTTTTTGGCCCAATGAATTAAGTCATATCCGGTCCATTTAACCATTTTCACCTAAGGTGACCCAAGATCGAAGCCCAATACTACTTAAGCTCACCGGTTCGGTCAAACCCTTAGAATGATCTTGACCTTTGATAATGTCCATTGATTCTCATCGTTTGATGTGATCGGTTATTTCCCTAATTCCCGATCTTCTCTCCAGCCGTTTCTCAGGCTCCCTCTCCGGAATCGAACCCTAATTCTCCGTCACCCGTCACCACCATAGTAGGCCACTATCCTACCATCGAAAGTTGATAGGGCAGAAATTCGAATGATGCGTCGCCGGCACGAGGGCCGTGCGATCCGTCGAGTTATCATGAATCATTGCAACGACGGGCAGAGCCCGTGTCGACCTTTTATCTAATAAATGCATCCCTTCCAGAAGTCGGGGTTTGTTGCACGTATTAGCTCTAGAATTACTACGGTTATCCGAGTAGCAGGTACCATCAAACAAACTATAACTGATTTAATGAGCCATTCGCAGTTTCATAATCTGAGTACCACCAAATTAATTCTTCATGTTTGCTTTGGGCGACACTCCCATTGACGATGACGATGATTGTACCTAAACTGCTTTCTTCTTTTCAGAGTGTCCTGCTTTACTCATCTATAAATCTCTAAAAACGAAAATACTTGTCAGAATCGACGGAATTCAAAATTCCGTTTCAATTTCCACCCCTTCTTCTTTTGTAGTACCGGTTAATTGAAAAAAAAAAAAAAAAAAAAAAAAAAAAAAAAAAAAAACCATAGGGCCGGATGAATTATAATAGACCAAGCGCCTATTGGGCCAAACTATCTCCCGTATTCAATTTCTAGCCCAAATATTGTAACAAATATGGGCCAACAAAAATATGACCAAGTCCACATTTCTTCGGCCTGAAAATTATTCCTTTAGGAAAAAAAATATCTCCAACAATCAATCACATACAACCACAACCACCACCTGTATGCAATACTGCGAATTTACCCCCGGAAAAAGAAAATTAATCGGAAATGGAAGCCCTTACCACCACTACCGGCGCCGTTTCGCTGCCGATCTTCTCCCCCAATAAATCCAGAGAACCTTCTTCCCGCCGGCTCCTCCGCTTCTCCACCTCCCCCAAAAGTCAGCTCTCCCTCCCCTTTTTTCTCTCTCCGTGATCCTTTTCCATTATATCGATCAATTTCTGACGCAATTTTTCTTCTCTATTTTACAGATGATGCCAATCGTAGTAACAGTGGCGGCGAACCCGATTTCAAGCCCGATTCTTCCGAATCCTCGCTCGTCCCCATCAACAGAAATCGCTTCATTTCCCAGGCAATTATTATTTCTGTTTTACCAATTATCCTAAATTGACATTGAAACTTTTAGGTTAAATTAGCTGTGTGAAAATTGAGATTGAAACTTTTAGGTTAAATTAGCTGCGTGCAAATTGAGATTTCGTTGAGTTGTTCGTTTTGCAGGATGCAGCGATGGGGCTGGTTCTGAGTGCAGCCAACGTGAGGGGATGGACAACCGGGTCGGGTATGGAAGGCCCATCCATGCCCGCGGGATCCGACCCTAATTCAGGTATGGATCGGGTGTCCACTTTCCCGTGGTCGCTCTTCACCAAATCCCCCAGACGCAGAATGCGCGTGGCCTTCACGTGCAACGTATGTGGCCAGCGCACCACACGTGCCATCAATCCACATGCCTACACTGACGGCACCGTCTTTGTCCAGGTACACACAGGCAATAGCAAAGTATTTCTGATGTTTTTTTTTTAATATTTAATATTATTCTAAAACCATTCAAGGAAATAAATGAAATTGTCTTAATTTTGTATTGAAAGCTTTCAAGAAACTATAGGCAACTTTGGCATTATCAATTAAGAACACATAGTATAGTAGTGTTTATACACTTGTTCTTATGTTCTCCTATAAAATAAAAAATAAAAATAAAAAATAAAAAAATACTTGTTCTTATGGTTTTTTTTTTTTTGTTTTTTTTGTTTTGGGTATAATAGTGTTGTGGGTGTAATGTATTCCATAAGCTGGTGGACAATTTGAATCTGTTCCACGAGATGAAATGCTATGTGGATCCAAGTTTCGACCCGAACCCGAATGATCAAATGGGCTTCAAGTTTTTTGACTTGGGTGATGACACTACGAATGATGATATTTTCCCACTCTTGTGAGCATTTCACAAATGTTGTTGGGATTGTAATATGTAAGAGAAATTGGTTTTGTATATATTGCTGTCTGTACATTCTATTGCTCTTATACATGCGACTGTATTTTAATTTTAGTACATGTAAATACGAAGGTTTCTATTGTGACGATCAGGGAACTAAATAGTTCCCGATGTTAATATTTAACGAATTATTGTACACATATATCACTCTCGTTTCTGATTGTGTGGTAATTACGTGATTCCTGAGAACTCATTTGCTAATAGAGAGGCCTAATAATGCAAGTGCTGTTAGTCTGGGGGAAAACTGTGCATAGAAATTCGATATATTGTTGCCATTGAAGCAAGCTATCCTTAGAGCTCAAAATATATTATTTTGTTAATAAGTGGATTTGGAAATTGATTTTTATTTTCAGAAAGAATTTATCGATTTGAACTACTTACTCATGCCTTTGGATTTTATTATTATGACAGTTTAATGTTCGTTTGATGTTCGAAACAGAAAATATTGCGTTGTTGTACTGGTAAGAATTTGTAGTACAGTAAGTACTACCTTTGTGGCAAATGGTGCATTTCTGTTGTACTACACTTATACTAATGGCTGATATATGTACTTCCAAATCTCTTATAAATCCTTACATCTTTTTTTCTCTTCAGTTTCTTGTTCACCTCATTCCGACTCTCGCACTCTGTTTTCGGTATTTCGCACTCTGTTTTCGGTATTTCAAGCCGTGACGATCGTAAGTTTCTTTTGTTGCTAATTGTTCTTTTGTTTATTGTGCCTATTTTTTTATAATCAAATAAGAAATGGAAGCAAAATCTGATTATTACACCCTAAGCCGAATTTATGTTCTCCTTTTATTAACTCCGCTGTCATTTGTTTATTATATTCATTATAAAAAACAAATGCAAATTAGAGCCACCTCAAATTTTCCCAGTTCCACAAAAAATCCATCCCCTGTTTCGTACAACATCGCATACTAAATATCCAATTCCACGTCAGATGATAGTATCCAGCTAAGCCAATCAGATCAATCCTAGTGGATAACAATCCACACCTTATCTATCCAATCACTCCTCCACAAAACACACACCACACACAATACTCCATCACATGTATTAAATTCCAACTTCCTCCCTCTTCCATTTCTTGATTTCCACCAATACTTCACCGGCAACACCACCACCACCACACAATCCTTCAAAACAATGGCCACCATCACCTCCGCCGCCGTCACCATTCCCTCGTTCACCGGACTTAAGTCCGGCGCCACCTCATCCTCCAAGCCCACCACCGCCCGCGTCGTCACCACCTCCGCCGCCATCCCCAAGCTCTCCGTCAAGGCCTCGTTGAAGGACTTCGGCGTGGCCGTCGCCGCCACCGCCGCCACCGCAATCCTCGCCAGCAGCGCCTTGGCCGCCGATGTCCTCCTCGGCGGAGACGACGGCTCACTGGCCTTCATCCCACAAACCTTCGAGGTCGCCGCCGGCGAGAAGATCGTGTTCAGCAACAACGCCGGATTCCCCCACAACATCGTCTTCGACGAGGACGAAGTTCCCGCCGGAGTTGACGTGGCAAAGATCTCCATGAACGAGGAAGACTACCTCAACGCCAAGGGTGAAACTTACGCAGTCACTCTCACCGAGAAAGGCACCTACTCTTTCTACTGTGCCCCCCACCAAGGCGCTGGTATGGTCGGAAAAGTTACCGTTAAATAGAGTGTCCGAATTTTAAATCATCTCATTTTTTGCGTACCTTTATCCGACATTGTAATGTATAAGTGAAAAAAAATTGTTTTCATGTATGAGATGCTATAAAATCTGTGTATTAATTCATCTGTTCTTCCATTCAATTTCATGCCGGAGCACCAAACAAATAAAAGAATTATCACTTTTAGACTATATAATGATTATACAAAAATGATTTAACACTGAATCCACACAAGCTCGAACATGAACTGATACAACACGGCCAAAGGCCACCGGTAATGTTACAACATTAGTTCCTCTTCCTCACCAAGTATTACTACATTTTACCTATGATTTCGCTAGAGTGAATTATTATCTTTTAAGTGGTCAAAGCATCCGGCAAATTGGTCGGAGCACCTATAATTTTACCACCAACATCCGGAAAAGTTTCATATCCGGGCAAAGGGTTAACCTTTCCATCAATATCGATTTCCAACGGATATTTAAGGATGTGCCCTTGTAATAAATTGAACTCTTCAGATGTGTATCTCTTCCAATTATCCTCCGCAACACTATTCACGTATTTCACACATTCCAATTCATCGGGATTATTGAAGCAATCATCGATTCTGCCTATATGCTCAGACCAAAGAGACATTCTGTAGCCGTAGACCTGCAAGTACGTATTTTTCGACATTTACTTTCAATTTTTTTACGAGGATCTTGTTTTCTTTCTTTTATTTAGTAAAATCAAAAACTAAATAAACCTGGCCATGTGGATGTTCTTTCTTCTTGGTCCATGTGTAATTTGGTTGATAAGCCCCCATTGCTATCTCCGTATCTCTCGAACCAGCCATTGACCGTTGGTTAATGTTGGCCGAACCAATAATCACGTATTCATCATCCACTACCATCCCTTTCGCATGCACGTATATCATAAATCTTCCGTATTTTTTTGAAGCCGTATCCTACATGAGTTCAATTTTAAAATTAACACCATTCAATAAATGTAGTACTACTTAAGATAGTCTTGGTAATTTAAGTGAAGTACAAAAACACTAATGCTAAGAGAAGAGAGGGTCAATTACGGAATTTCCATTGGATGTGGTTGGGCCGTTAGAATTTGATTCGTCTCCCGGACATTCCTCTCGATTGCCAAGACAGTAGAAATTAAGATAGTCGGTTGGATGTGCGTTCTCAATATTAGCAGATTTGAGCTCTTGTGCGATAATTTCGTACATCATTTGCATTGTTTGCCCCTACAATAGTTACTCCAATTTTATATAGATTTAATAAAAAAAGAAACCAATTCTTGAAAAATGCTTCACAATTGAAATGTTGACAATAAAAAATATTTTACCTGCCAATAAAGGATTTCTTGTACAGATGCAGAATCGGGAACACCCTCGGGCCACATCGGGATGACAACATAAACGGTGAATCTTTCATTTGCCCTTATTTTACTTGCAATTTTTAATGCCAATTCCATCGGGATTAAATTGTCGGCACCTAACAATATAAACATGTGATTTTAAGTAAAATGGATGCAAGAAAAAGATATCTGAGAATTGTTAATCAGAAGATCGTTAACTAATCTAACTGGTTAGCTGTTATGTTTCGTTTTGGGTGTACTTTCTTTTTTCCTTTTTGGGCCCTTTTTTTTTAGAAGCAGCTTACCGGCATTTTTGTAGGAAGGCCAAGCGTAAGACGACCCAAGAAAATATTGATTCTCGATGTATATGAAGTGTTGAGCAGATCTAATAGCCTCGATATAAGCCATTTGAATGCTCTTATCGATCACCAAATTTTTTGCACACACTAAATTCTGCAACAAAGGAGTATTTTTAAATTTATTCATTCGTAGACAATAAACATAGGAAGCTCATAAAAATAACATCGAAGTGTGGGAATTACTTGTTCTTCAGCTTCATGGACATTTTTGGGAAATCCTTTCAACGAACCCGAATCTATAGACCGAAAAATCTGTTGAAAGCAAATTACAAAACCAAGATAAAGCCTTGATTGCCTCGTATCGAATAAACTAATAATAAAAATAAAATCTTTTAATAAGGCGATCATAACCTGAACATGCCAGTTCTCGGGATCGTTTTCGTTGCACACCCACAAAGAAGGATGGTCATTCGGGACAGTTGTGGTAGGACTTGTTATCCACGAAATACGTTCAATCTTAAGTAAGGCATCATCGTGCCAGCGTGATATTCTCCTAAACCGCTGTCCAAATTCAGACCATTTAGTGGCTTTTCTCCAGCGCTGCTCGAAGTTTATGAGCACATCATACGCCGCCGGACCCTCAATTTTACAATGCAAATCATGCCACGGTTGCCGTGGGCCCTTTTTCCCTGGCTATTGATCAACATAAACGCAAATCATGAGTTCAAAAAATAATTTATTTTTTTTTGCGAATTAGTGAGAGATATCAAGTGGAGCAGTTTCTTACAGGAAATGTTGGATTGTGATAATCATCTTTAAAGACAGTGTCGAGGTCGGTGAATAATCTGTGCTCAGGTGTATCATAGCGTCCATCACATAGGTCTAGACCACCAATGAAAGCCGTTATCTTTCGGTTATTGCCATGATGTTGGGTGTCCACAATCACACATTTCTGATGGTGTGTATAAAGAGTTCCAACAACCTGAACAAAAACACAGTATAAATTCTCATTGCCGGAAGAAAGTAATTTCCGTAATCTGCTCTAAGCAAACATTGCCGGAAGGACTTATTTTATAGGAAATCAGATGGAGTGTACAATGACATAAAGTTCGACAAGCCTGTGGTAACTTAACAAGTATTTCATGGATTCGATAAGTCCAAGTACTTATCGACGACAGTTACTATAATAAGACAGTTTTGTGTTTCGAGAATTAAAATATATGAAATCATAAATGGATGTGTAATTCGTTAAATAGAATAAAGCATGCCTGTTGCTTGAAAATGCTAAGCTTACTGCTCGCATAACGAGGGGCCAGCACACACGTCACAGAGGAGTGTTTGAAAAACTTCCGAGTTTCCTCATCGTGAGTTTGCATTACTCCATCCTGCATTGAAACTAGTCCGACTTATATTTTTTCTAAAAGATATACATAGCAACAAGACACAATCATTAATAACAACATCTAGTGCATTAAGGCTGATCAATCTCTGCATTTATTTAAATAAAAAAAATCCAAATATGAAAACCAGAAATCTTATATGATAGTGATCTATCCAAGCCATTATCGACTATTTGCTACTTATGTCAATCATTAACTCCATTTCATATGAAATAGGAGTTCATCAACGAGGCACATAACCCTTTTAACCATATTAAGAATCAACTCTGTAATCTTTCCAAAACCTGCTTACATACCGACGGCCAAAAAAACAACAAAAAAGACGAGCATTTCAAAGTCAAAATTCCATACCGTTTTTAAAAAGAACTTGTTGTGGGAAGTCTTATCATCCCAAACTAACAACAAAACTCTCACCCCTTCTTGAGACTTGTACTTCAACAACTCCCCCAAATTCAAGTCACCGCCATTTGGCAACGGTTTAGTAGGCTCCCTCACCAACTTCACCTTATGATAAATCGACCATCCCACGATATAAACCAAATGATGCGCCTCCAATATCGAGTGGCAAATATCCTCCCAGCACTGTTCGTGCTCGAAATTCTTCCCATCGTCCAATTTGATGTCGGGCAGCATTCCGTCAATCACGTGCGCGTCTTGGTAGAGGGTCAATTTCCCTCCGTGCCGCCATGGGAAATAACTATCTTTCAGGCCGTAATTGTCCGAAATTCCACTCAGATAGACGGGATCTTTGTGGCAAGGGGTGAATGTCATTTGTAGTCTTATTGCGCTGTCGGGTTTTGAGGGCTTTCCGTTGGATCCTATCACCGGAAACCATTCGTCGATCACTTGGCCTGCGGCGATTCTCTTAGCTGGCACGGTGGCTATACCTATGAGTTCTGCTCCAAACATGTCGTTGTCTTTCACTTGGAATTCAACCTGTATTATTTTGGTTTTAATAATTCAAATGAATTCGATCACTTTACTAATCAACCACCCAATATGCATTCTGTATTTACTGAAATTCTAATTGAACGAATTTCTGAAATTTTTTAATTGAATCACCTGAGAAACGGGGTGAGCTAGAGGGATCTTAAAATTCTCTTTCCAAATCGGATTCTGCGAATTGGATATGACCCGGGTTCGGGCAACACGGGCACCGCCGAGGCAGACGGTGACATAGGGATCGCTGGTGATGATCTTACGGTGGTGGTGGTGATCGCGGCGGCGATTGGAGGTGAAAGGCTTCCGGCAATCGAAGGCGGTGAAGCAGCGGCGGAGGCGCTCGGAGAGTAAATCCATGTTCGGGAGGCATCGGGCTTCGATGATTTTGAGGTCTAGATTCCCGTGGAGGTATATCACGTCGTTATCTGAATTCTCGCCGGCCATTCTCGAAGGGATTTATTTTCGACCGGGGCGGAGATCGCGGCGGTGGTTGCTTGGTGTCTCCGCCCGAGGTGCGGCGAATAGAACAGTGAAAAATGTTTAATAAACACGTCTGCTTTGGAAGGTGGTTTACGGAGAGAGAGAGAGAGCGGTTGGGAGTTTTATAGGAAGCTGACACGTGTGAACATCTACATGATTTTGAATTTTATATGTATATATATGTACGTCGAGTCAAAAAATTGTGAGAGCTTACCTGGCAAAAATGGAATAAAATATGATTTTATTGCATCGTCATAATTTTTTAGTTATCAAGAAAAGATTAGTCAAGTAATTAGAGAAAGTCTAGCAGAGCATGCAATTAACGACCTTGGACTTCAAAAAGTTATATATTAATGTAACCTGCCTTGAAATTAGATTGGATTATTTAAATTTTAAAGTATGGACTTCATTAATTGATAATTCCTTAGCAATTGAAATTTAGTTATTTTATATAAACTTTGCAAATTTTCCTTAAAATAATTTACTTGATTTCAATTGCCAACCCATGGAATTAATGAAGTAAATATTTTTAATAATCCAATCAAACTGCAAGGAAGGGTACATTAATATTTACTTTCAATTAATTAAAATCTTTATAATTTGCATAAATACCCCCGTACTTATAATATTTTGCTAGTAAATTTTATGGTAACTGGGCTTGCAAGTTACAATCTATAAAGATCAACGTGGCCTTGGGCCAACAGTTTTTGTGATCGTTGGATTTGTGGAATTCAATATTTTATACTTATATAGCCCATATATAATATATTTAGTCCACTAAGATATTTTAATTTAGCCCACCTACCACAAAGCCTAAATTGGTTTTTTTAGAATTAATATTACTTTATGTGAATTAATCAAGAAAATAAAAATCTGATAGTATTACCCGGCGGTAACGAGTGTGCAACACAAAAGTGCACTAGGGGATTTTCTACTTTTGACTAAATTTCACAGGAAAATTTTTAACATTTTGAGATTACCCATGAGCACTTTTTGCAGTTTATTCCAAATGAATTTTCAAAGTATAATCCATTTAGCCTTAGGCATAAACTATTGAATATTTTTCTGAAAAGAAATTCCGATTCCTATCTTGATTTGTTACAAACCTCAAACGCATCATCTTCTTCATATTAATTTTTGTGGTATAAGGAACACTAATATTTTGCACAAGTAAACAATTGCACACTTGAATTTAAAAAAAATGAAAAACCACTACTTAATCGTATATACATGTACATATACATATATCTATTCGTATCATTGTATGTGTATCTCGTTTACAATAAAATGCTTTACGGAAATTCACCAAAAACTCGGAAATGGAATCGAAACCGAACCGAAACCATTAGCTTACATTATTATCGGCTTGGGCTGAGCCATAGTTCTTCTTTTCCACAAGTTGATCTCCTTCCTCGGCTCCAAATCCAAGCCGAACACACCACCACCGGCTCCAGCCATCAGAATCGGCGCAGAAAAAGGTATGATGACGTCATCATCACTGTCGTCGGAGTAAAATCCCCGGTCTTCCTCCTCCGGCGCAATTTGAGCGGTCGTCCAATCAAAATTCGCGAACGTGTCGCGGCTGCTGGCGAATTTCCTCATCTGGTTCAGGCTCGGAGCCGTTTCAGAAATCGGCGGCCTCTTATAATCAATCGACGCATCGGATTTCCTTCCGGCGCCGAAAAGCTTCTTGATTCCCGACTCCTTCTTCTCCGCGGCCGGAACCGCCGCCGCGGCCCTAATTTTGCGGGTTTCCGCAGGCTTGAATTCCTTGGGCAAAGAAACGTGTTTCTGTTTGGATATCTTGTTACTCTTGCTCTTCTTGCTCTTGTGCTTGATTTGCCCCATGCACGACACCTTCGGCGAAGTGGGTTCTTGTGTTTCGAAGTTCTTCGATTTCCGCCGGGCTTCCGCCGGAATCATCGGGCCGGAGAAACCCTTGTTCTGAAGGGCTTTCACTCTGTGCGAATTCACATCGGCCCTCAAATCTCGCCGGGGACTGAACGGAATATTCTGAAACGACACCGCTTTTGGTAGAAACTTCATAATCTTGTTCTTTGACTTTGTTGCGGCCGGCTTCTCCATTTTAGAACCTATCCAAGAAATTTGATTTTTTTTTTATTTTTTTCGGTTCAGAGTCAAATATATATGCCCACAAAAAACACACACATGCGTGTGTTAGTGCGTGTAAAATATGTGTGTATATAAAATATAATTTATAATAGCCACAAAATAAAAGAATATGATCAAAATAGGGTAGCGAAAATTGACTACTTCATAAAAGAAATTGAAAAATTAAATAAAAAGATAACCGGTCAAGCGGTACTATGAATTAGTAAAACGAAGTTTATACACTATTGCTAAAGCTAATTAATAAATAAATAAATAACACGCAAGTTGATTGGCTAATTAGTATTTAGTGCCGACCTAAATACTAGTTCAAAATGTCTAAATCTCGTGGCTAAATTAAATCCAATCTAAGCAATATTAATTTATGGGAATCCGTAGAATAATCAAAATAATAACATGCACACGAGTCATATTAGACGGACAAAGAAGATTAAAATTAACACGTGGATTGGATTGAAGATAAGACGAATGTGACAAATTACTATTATTTGAAATGTTTTATTTTATAAATATACAATGTGGGAATTAAGTTTGCTAGATCTCCCACGCCTGCCATATGTTGAACATGTATGCATGTGAAAGAGTTTTGTATGTTTTGTTTAATGGAAAAATACAATTTAATTTCCGTCATTCAATTTTGCATCAATTTTACATTTAATCCTTGATGTTTTCAAAATGTAACATTTTTAGTTATTTTCGTCAATTTTCTATTAGTACTAATGCAATTATGTGTGTGTTCGTCACTGCTTTAACTCAAGGATTAATGGTAATTGACAAAAATGACCGAAAATGTTAAATTATTCAAACATGATGGACCAAACGTGTTTTTTTGTCAACATGAGAAACCAAATACGAAATCAATACAAACTTATGGGATGAAAACTCCCTTTCGCTTAACTTCGAGAGATTGTCAACTTTGACATGTTGTATTAATATTATACTATTATAAGCCTCATTTCATAAATTTGATTGGCCTTTGTATATCGATAATCAACGTCTAATTTATTTTTTATTTTTTTATAGCATGACAAAGGATTATTATTTATTTTTAGTTAGTAATATAATTAAAAAGTAGTAATTTAGTATTTTACTATTTTATTAATAAAATCGTGTTACTCAAAAGTCAAAACCCATAGTGGGTCCAATTTAAAGGAGAGACCAATGTGAAGTAAATTATTTTGTGGGCTTTATTTAATGTATTTGTACGACTCCGGCCCATATTTTGTACGATTTCGGCCCATATTTCTAAACTTTTGTTTATATATTTTTTATTTTTAAGTTTATACGTATTCTTAATCGTTTTTCTCAAATTTTGTTAAGCAATGACTTGAGCATTGGAGGATTTTTGTCGGACCAAACCCGAACATCTCAATGTGTGTTTTGTTCTATATGCATGTAGCACCGACATATTGATTTGATGAATATTCATTAGTGTAGTATTTATGAGCTAATTCAAAGATTAAATGAGGCGATGTGAATTAAATTGCTTTTTTTTTTCCCACATCAAATTGGACAAAGGACATTTGTAAGAAATTCAAATGAAATTGTATATTTATGTAGTTATTATGTATGGTGGCAAAAATATATTTAATGTACGTCTTTTACAGGCAAAGTTACCATGAAAGTTATTCAGTATTTTATACACGAACATTTTAAAAAGTTAAAAATTGTAATTTATTGGGCCATAATTAAAATTCTCATAATTTTTTGAATTAGAATTATTATATTATAAACTGAAATGTTAAATGTAGTTTCAATTTTACTAATACCATTTTGACTTCGAACCTAATTTTGATATATTTCTATTTTGATTTAGGCAAAATTTGAAACACGAAAATTGTAATCCTTTGAGTCAAATTTTGAATTTTAGATCCTCAATACATCAAAGTCGTGAGCAATATCCATTGATTCATGTATATGTTTCTCGTCCGACATCCAATTTTGGTGATTCAAGTTGGATTAGCAAACTAATTCAAAATACTACAAATCCTATTTTTCGGGTTTTGCAAAATTTGAAATAAAAAATGATCAAAATCACGTTTGAAGTCGAAACGGTATTATTAAGGCTCGAACGACGTTTATCACATCGCGAAATCAATGACAGATATTATTGAAATCAGGTTCTGAAATAGATTAGAATTAATTATGTATAGTTTAGGTTACGATTTAATTTAATATTTATCTAGTATTGTTTTGGTGCATGTGTTATGAAATCAGGTTATATGATCATAATAATTAAAAAAGAAAAAAGAAAAGAAAAGAAAAAGAGAGGGGAAATGTGAAGTGTCAGAAATACCCCTTAATCACCGTCAATTCATTCAGTCCGTTCTGTAATTTCACATTTTCAGTTCAACTTCTTCCACCCCCATTGAATAACATTAACAGAGAATTCACAGGCCAAATTTCTTCAGCCCCAGACAAAATCTGTACGACTGTATCTTATTATTATTTGTTAGGGTTTTGATTTAATTTCGATTTAGAGAATTAAAATGGCGAAGGGGAGGGGAAGTCGGCATCAAGGGAAGAGATCGTCGACGGTGGTTCTGGTTCTATCGATGCTATTAATGCTGACAATAGTTCTCTTGATGCTTCTCGGCCTCGGAATCGTCTCTCTCCCCGTTGGCTCCGATGAAGACTCTTCGCCGATCGGAGAGCGAATTAAATTGAAGCGATTGACCATTGACATGTAAGCTTTTTTTCTATGTCATATTCGTGACTTGTGGCGATTGATTTTTTTTTTTATAATTTATTTGTATTAATTTTGCAGAAAAGGTGAAAGTGAAGGAGATGGATTGGGGGAAAGAGGGGATCAGTGGACGGAGGTTCTTTCCTGGGAGCCTAGGGCTTTCGTCTATCATAACTTTTTGGTGAGTTTCGATTTTAAATCTGTTCTATTTAATGCTTTTGTTTTGATCTTGAGTTTGATAATTGTGTAATTGAGTTTCATTTGGTTATGTGTTTTGTTCCCTTTTGATTTGTCTGGTATTGCCTAATTCGATTACTTTGTGTTGAAGTATGATGATTGTTTTTAGGAAGTAGAATGCATACAAGAGCTCAAATTGCTCGAGTATGTTTACGCTTTTCGGGTTTTTTTGATGATGTGGTTAACCATTATTTGTTTTCCATTGATGTGGTTTGTCTTGGCTCGTTGGTAATGAAAATCCATTTAACACCGTCACTAATTATGTCGTAACACCGTTAACCAATTGTTTAGGGAACCAATATCTTCAAAGCTTAACAAACAAATCCATTTATCTTTTCTTCTCCCCTTTCCACGATACCTACAAAATTATGGCCCTTCATACATTTGAAGTTCGAAGATCTAAATTGTCATTCTAGAGGTAATTAGATATAACTTTCTGTGTCGACGTGAATTGTTACTTTTCATTAGAAGAATATTGAATGACAGTTTGCTCATGGAGAAATGGAATTTTAATACGATCTTAATTTTTCAAACTTATAAGCCATTTCCATATTTTATTCAATTAGCCATTGATAGCACACTGTGTTTTGAACTCCAAACTCCCTTTTGAGCTTGATTCCAGATAATAATTGAATGAGAGAGAAAACAGTCATTGTGCTCCATGAAATGGTGTAGTTAATCATCTTGGCGGAATAGTTTACTGCGATGCTTGTTCCCTAAAATTTGTATGTTATATTCTTGTATAAGAAATGTATGTTATTTTGGCTTGAATTTGTACCTTATAAATTGGATTGAGATCATTTCTTAAATAACTTGTTGGAAATTGTCTTATTTTAAACTAAATGGTTCAAGAATACATTCCGATGCTACTATCTTCTGCACATGTTCTGGCTGATTTGACATAAAACTTTTCTGTAACTAACTATTTTATTGACAGTCTAAGGAAGAATGTGAGTATCTGATAAATCTTGCCAGACCTCACATGGTAAAATCGACAGTGGTTGATAGCAAGACTGGCAAGAGTAAAGATAGCAGGTTTGTTGATCTGATCTATCTCTATTTCTGGTATTTATGGTCTTGTATTTCAGCTGAATATATAAAGAATTGGCTTCAGAATACTGCCATTCTCTTATCTTTGTTTTTGAATTTAAAGAAGTGACACCACATTTCAGGGTTCGTACAAGTTCTGGAATGTTTTTGAGGAGAGGACGAGATAAAGTCATTAAAGATATTGAAAAAAGAATAGCAGATTACACTTTTATACCTGCAGGTATGGAAATTTAAGTACATTGGCATTCAGATTATATTCGCACTTTGTTGAAGGTTATAAGATGTATGGCTTTGGTAATGTTGGTCTCTGGTTGTCAAAATTTCTGACCTATTCTAACAAAGTAGTGCACGGCTTTGGAAAATCTATTGTTTCATACGAGTGCATTGGTAGTGATACAAATTCGATATCTTAAAGTATGCCCACGAACTATATGCCTGTCAGGTAAATACCAGGAAAAATCTATTTGACTAACAAGCACGATATACCTTGGTTATTGGTATATTTGTACTTAACGACCGCATTGTATTTCTGTGTCAAACAACTGATATGCTGCTTAATTAAAAAAAAAATCAGCATTCTCTATTTTTGCATGTGGCTCTTCTCTTACCCTATAACATGATTCGGAGTGCTCTATTTTCTATTTTATGCTGCTCTCTGCAAATGTGACCTGATTATGTTTAGACGTAATTTACAGAGCACGGAGAAGGTCTACAAGTTCTGCACTATGAAGTGGGACAAAAATACGAGCCTCATTATGACTACTTTCTTGATGATTTCAACACAAAAAATGGGGGTCAACGCATAGCTACTGTGCTTATGTATCTGTAAGTACTGTACCAATGTATTGACGGTTCCACAGTATCTAGTTTTACGATTGTTAATTTGAAATAATGCACCTAATGTAGGTCTGATGTTGAAGAAGGCGGCGAGACAATATTCCCTGCTGCAAAGGGCAATTTTAGCACTGTGCCAGGGTGGAATGAGAAGTCCGAGTGTGCTAAGAGAGGCCTTGCTGTCAAACCAAAAATGGGTGATGCACTACTTTTCTGGAGTATGCGGCCTGATGCTACTCTAGATCCAACAAGCTTGCATGGTGGGTTTAATTTGTATCCCATTTTCCATTATTTTGATCCCCTTATTTTATTTACCCCCAAAACCCAAAAAAATAAATAATGCTGGATGAGGAATCAAGTCTTTATGTTATATACGTTCTTCCTAAGTATTGCGCACAAGTCCACATGCTTGTTTTTCGATCCCTTGCCTTGGTTTACTTTTAGTTTCCTAATTATACTGGTATCTTGTTTGACTTCAGGGGGTTGTCCTGTCATCGTTGGGAATAAGTGGTCGTCTACTAAGTGGATGCATGTCGGTGAATACAAAGTCTAGGTAAACTTGATATCTAATCATGATATGAATTAATTCTTTTTTCTGGGCTTTCGGTTTTCTCTTTTATGCGGTACTCACATTAAGACTTAAAACCCACTTCATTACTTGGTTAATACTCGATATATTTGTTACACAAGGAGCTTATGATTCTTCTTTTTCTCCTAATTTTATTTGACATGATCCGTAAAGTTGGTGAATAAGGCCTAATTACTATAGCTATAATGAATGTATAACCAATTCTGGACAAATTTCTTGCAGGAGATAAATGTGAAAGGTTCTTCCTTCAACTAATAGTGCGACTGCACAAAGTTTCTGCAGCTACGAATTTTGTGATTAACGTTTGTATCTTTCTGAGAGTCACTTACCTGGGAATTCTTTTTCTTGATTTAACCATTATAGTTTGTCTGTACATGACATGCTTCATCAGAATGAGAACTGCTAGGACAGAGGAGAGAGAGGGAGGGCTTTTTTGTAACTTAAAAACATAAAGGTGTAAGCTTATATTGTTCTTGTAAATTGTTGTGGTCTAAACTGTAATATTACTGAAATATTCAATTGTTCTTTGGAAGTGGGAAGCCGTTCAGTAAAGTGAGCCGTAGGTATATTAATAGAAGATATATGCATATTAAATAAGCAGCTAGGAGCTTATAAGCTATTTTTGAAAATTATAAACTGTTCCTAGATTATCAATAAAATCTCATGAAACTCTTTAATTTTGACCATATTATTTTTTATAAAATCAACTATTAACATTTCACAATCTATGCAGTCTTATTTTATGATAATCACTAGAATAATTTATTTTAAAAATAATATCTAGAATCTTAAGTATATTTATAAGATATTGATGTTCATAACTTATTTTAAATATGAGTGACTAGGTATTTGCGAAGTTTGCTCAAGTAAATTAATAATAATAATAATTATTATTATAATAATTTGTAATAATTCATAATTTAAAAAAAAAAAGGTCACCATTTTGACCATAGAATATGAAAGTAAATTATAACATAATTACTACAAAGATTATAGCACACTTTCCATTAATTAATTGAAAAGTAAATTATTTATTTCAGCCGAAAAGCAAAAAGCAGTTTGTTTAGATTTCCCAAGTACGCAGCTTCTTACAAAATATATCGTCTTATCCTAATTAACTTGCAATCAATAAAAAAAGAAAAAGATAAAAAATATAATAATTGAAAAAAAACGGGAGAGAGATGAAAAACAAGAGCAGATGGCTGGACCGGTTAAAATGAACTAGGGCACAGTTTCGGAACGATAGTATAAATTTCGAGAAATACGCAACTAAAGCGGTCAGTGCCTAACGAACAAACGAAGCCGGAGAAGAAGAGCGCATATAATCTTATCCTTCCGTACACATACGTTCACTTCGGTATTTCTATGTGAGTAATTCCATATTTAATTATTTTTCAATCATTAATTGCAGATCTCCTGCTCTTATCTTCGCCGGTTAAAGTTAAACCACTGCTTTTTTTCAGTGTTTTTTTTAGTTGGTGGATTTACTGATTTGTTTTCTTCGTAATTTATTTATTTTTGCGTTTAATTTAATTAATTTACTGATTTATTTCGGATTTTTGTAGAGCATGGATCGGTACCAGAAGGTAGAGAAGCCAAAGGCGGATACGCCAATTGATGAGAATGAAATTCGGATTACAAGCCAAGGCAGGATGAGAAGCTACATCACCTACGCCATGACTCTGCTTCAGGTATATATATGTGTGTGTGTGTGTGTGTGTGTGTGTGTGTGTGTGTGTTTTCATCACGTGTACTTGTGTGTGTGGGATTGCATATAATTTGTTCAAGAGTCTGTGTATGAAATTATGAATTGATGTGTTTTAGAGTCTGGTTAGTGGTTACTGACTATTGATCTGTTTAAAGAAAAATTGTTTGATTAATTAGTCTGTATTTTGTTCACTTGATTTTTTTCTGTGGCTGTTTTTTTTTAAATGATTATTAGATGTATATAATATCTCGGAGGTAAAAATGTTGATTGCGGACACTCACTCGTGAAATACTTGTAAGAAGATGATGATACTGAGAAGAGCATTTCATCTGTCGTATTATATATTACTTCGATTTCTCTTGATTGAATGTTGCTGGTGTGCTGCTCTCATGTTATACGTTCTAAAGTGACTCGTAAATTTTGCATGAAATTTAGTATTGCATTATCAGATGCTGATATAACCGCAAATTATATTCCACCAATAACCTGATTAGTCAATTTAATTCTAATATGGAATGGCCGCACGGGTGATTCTCTAGCAGATACCTTAGAGTATTTGATAATTTTAGATTTTTTTATGTGGTGGTTGTAGGAGAAGGGTTCAGATGAAATAGTATTCAAGGCAATGGGCAGAGCCATCAACAAAACTGTAACAATTGTGGAGTTGATCAAGGTTTTCCTATTTATTTATTCTTTTATTTTTTTCCATTAGCTGGCAATATGCAAATCTTTATTCCTCAAGTTTTTAATTCAGAGGAGAATTGCTGATCTTCACCAAATTACGGCAATTCAATCGACTGATATAACTGACACATGGGAACCTCTGGAGGAAGGCCTCCAAATGTAAGAGCACTTCACACTGTCTGTACAATGGAGTTTACGATATTTTTTCTGGCCCAAAATTTCGTGTGTCGGACAAATATTACTGGCGTTTGTGACATTGTTTTCTAATTGTTACAGTCTGGAAACAACAAGGAAAGTATCGATGGTCACGATAACTCTCTCGAAAAAGGAGTTGGATACGAAAAATATTGGGTGAGTTCTTGCTGATATCATTTTTTTTTTATAGATTATATTATCTTTTTTGTGGTAATACATTGTGAGCAAATAATCACAATCACTTAAATTGAAATGTCTTTCAACTTTTTCGAGGAACCTCTTGTAGAAATTAAATAGTGAAGTCTTCACTATTCTGTTTTTTAATCTGTAAACTGCTATTTGTCCTAATAGATTGGAAAGATTATTGATGGTCAGTTATGTGCTATAGGTACCAACCCCCCATACCAGCTGACCAAGTGAAGGTGCCTACAGAGCTCGACTATGATGGGGGTGGTGTGTTTTCCGATTTTCTGATTCCTGTTATTTTTCTTCATAAATTCCAGCAAGGCATACATTTTGACATGTTTTAATTGTGCAGAGGGTTCACCTCGCAACCGAGGAAGAGGCCGTGGTGGTAGAGGGAGGGGGAGGCCTAGAGGCCCACCCGGTATGAATCTTGCTAATTTATTTTTCTTTTTTCTTTTCTAATTTAGATTAAAATTAAACATTATTTTTCAAGTATTATTAACTTCTGCTCTGATTTCATTGTAGGAAATGGATTTGCAAATGGTGAGTTTGAAGATGGAGGCTATGAGGGAAACCGTGGGTATTCGAGGGGTAGGGGTAGAGGCCGCAGCTTCCGTGGCCGTGGAAGAGGCGAATACTATCCTCAGTTCGATACACAGAATGATGATGGAGGCTACAATCAAGAAGCACCTCGTGGTACTGCCTTCTTATTTCAATTATTTATAACGATATTTATTAAAATAGGATCTTTTTGGGTAGAAAAATCTAGGAAACTTTTGTTAAAGATGAATTTCGTCGAAATAATTTATCATTTAGATTTTAATTGCTTTGATAATCCTTTTTTATATACTGGCAAAAAAATTATCAATCTCATTGCTCCATTTGTTTTCAACAAACTCTGGGGGGTATATTGGGTAATTAATATATTTGGCCGTAAATGGTGGATATCTTTTGGTGTAGGCCGTGGTCGTGGGAGGGGGCCACGCGGCAGGGGTCGTGGATTCAGGTCTAATGAACCGGTGAATGCTACTACTGCTGGAGATGCTGCTTAGTTGCTGAATGAGTTGATGGCGGATGTCTGCTCTTCTTCGTTTTTTCTTTCTTCGTTCTATGTATTTCCTCCATAGATGTTGCTAGAGTTAACAGTAGGAAACATGTTAATGTTATCATTTGTAATCATCATAGACTAACATGGACCGCGTACTGGTGCGTGGTAAGCCTTTTTGTTTTCTTTTGCTTCGATATAGTTTGGTTCGTTGCGTTAATCAAGCGTTGCACTTGATTGGAGAGCAGCACATTCTTTAATTTGTATGTCGGGATGATCGTCGTGTTTGATAATCGATATTCATATTGTTAGTATAATTATGATTATTATTATATAGTTACAGTAAAAAAGAAACAATACAATTCCTCAAATTATGGTACTCTGTTTATAGTTAATATTTTATTTCTTATATAAATATCTTCAATAAAATCCAAGAGATTAATACTATATATATACTAGACACATACAAAATTGGTGATGAAATGAAACACTAATTACAGAACCCTACTTATATTTTAATCTTATTGGGGATAGTGGGATTGCTTTAGAAGGTGGATACACATTTCCTTGCTACTCAAGTTCAGTTGGGTCTTCTTTCCAGTCAAAAAGAATGACGTACTTCCTTCCGTCATCAACCAAAAACAGAGGTCCCGCCATTCTTTTTAACTCTATAAAATCTTATCCTCTCTTTTTTTGAAAGGCACAACTCCAATACCTCTTGATCATCTTCTTTCCATTATTGTCTGTAACGAATCTGTGTCACACGTGTACATGGAATTCCACGAAGATATTGTCATAGTCGGAGCTGGCATAGCCGGTCTCGCTACCGCTTTGGGACTTCACAGGTATGTTAATATCATCGGTGTTGATTTTTTTTTTAATAATTTTATATTTTTTTGTGTAATAAATTTTTAGGTTCGGAATTCGGAGTTTGGTATTGGAATCATCGGAGAGTTTAAGATTAACGGGGTTCGCGCTTGCCATGTGGACAAACGCGTGGAGGGCACTCGATGCTCTTGGCATTGGAGATGTGCTTAGGGCAACAGCTCTCCAAATTCAAGCGTATGATTTCGACAAATATCTTGCAAAATGTTGAACTGATTTTACCTATAATGTAAAATATCTCAGTTTTAATTGCCGTGCTTACCGGTTTTTTTTTTTTTTTCGAATTAGTTTTGAAATTAGTTCGTTCAATTCGAACCTGCCTAGCCAAGAGCCAAGCCCCAACTCAAATCTCAACTCGTAAGTTTCCTTATAGATTCGCTGAAACTTCAATAGTTAATTTTCTCGAACATATATTATGATGTCAATATGATCGTAGTTTCTTACAGCGTAACTTTAAAAATAAAGTAAAAAAGACATATAATAACATACTTGATATATATGCAGTGGCAAGACTGAACTCCGTTGCGTGAGAAGAAAAGACTTGTTAGAAACTTTAGAGAGAGAGTTGCCACAAGGCACCGTCAGATATTCTTCGAAAATTGTTTCCATCGAAGAATCAGGGAACTTCAAATTGCTGCACCTTGCAGATGGTTCCGTTTTTCGAACCAAGGTAGACTTCAAATTCTTGCCAAGAAAATACGGCTGAAATTTTTCAATTAATTATTTTTTTGGGGGTTCCAAATTGAAGGTGTTGATTGGATGCGATGGAGTCAACTCAATGGTGGCGAAATGGTTGGGTCTTAAGGATCCGATTAACACCGGGAGATCAGCAATTAGAGGCTATGTTGTCTACCCAACTAACCATGGTTACGAACCGAAGTTCCATGCTTACTTTGGTGGGGGTGTACGCTATGGTTTTGTACCCTGCGATGACAAGAGTTTATACTGGTTTTGCACTTTCTCTCCTTCACTCTTTAAATGTAAGCAACGGTATATATACATACATATATATATGATTTTCGCTGATTTAAAAATTCCCGTTTTAACAATATCCTTTAATAATATGCAAACAGATGATGAAAATGAGAATAATCCCCTGAAAATGAAGCAATTTGTGCTGAGCAGCATAAAAGATGCACCGGAAGACGTATTCGATGTGGTGGAGCGAACCACACTGGATTGCATCTCATATGCTCATCTAAGACAAAGATCCCCATGGAATCTTCTTACGGGGGACATTGTGAAAAACAACGTTTGTGTAATCGGTGACGCTTTACATCCTATGACACCTGATTTAGGTCAAGGAGGTTGTTCGGCTTTGGAAGACAGTGTCGTTCTTGCAAGATGTTTAGCCGAAGCTTTGTTGACGAAAAACGAAAGAGACGACGAAGAATGTGAAAAGCCGAAAATGGGTCGCCAGAAGTTTTCGAACCAGAGGAGGTGGAGAAGCTTTAGTCTAATTAGTGCAGCTTATTTGGTTGGTTTGGTACAAGAGAGTGATGGTGTAGTGATCGACTTTCTGAAGAAGAAGTTTATGTCTAGGTTTAGTGTTGGAATTGTTATGAGGATGTCTGATTTTGATTGTGGCAAGTTATTAATTGTTTCTTAATAATTAATTATGAGGTAATAATAATAATAATAATTTTCACCTAAATGAGTTTCCAATGATTGGGCATGTGGTGATTAATTTATTAAATGATAAATGATAATAATTTATTTCCCTAATGGTCTTGACTTTAGATGCTGGTATCTTCACATGTGACTCTGCATTAAAATTATGGTGTCTTCAAAATTCCTTGTAATGAAATTATAGCTAGTTTATCCTTAAAAGTAAATATGATGCAATCAAATAATTCTATATGCACTAGTTAATTAGATTCATTGTATATATATATTTTACCACTTAATGGAGGGAATATTACTTTGACCTCTATAAATGATTCTACTTATGATTAGGGTTAGATATAATTGCATTAAGACAGGATTAATAATGACAACGTGTCATCCTATAATGTGAAAAGGCATGCATGCATGCATGTGCGTCTGCACATGAAAATAATGTGACTGTGTGTACATATGCAGCCAAACTAAGCACATGCTATAGCCGAACAATATTTTGTCTACTTTTATTTTTTTGTTTGCCAAATTATTAATTAATTAAAAGGTATTTAATATTATCTAGTGGATTTAATCTTTAAATTATTTACAGAAATGAAGCAATTTGATTGTGGAAATTTGATCCATTCAAGGCTCCTCTGTTTGGAGAGAGATCCCATGTGGGATTTTGTAATGTAGAGAGAGAGAGAGAGAGGAGAGAGAGAGAGAGAGAGAGAGAGAGAGAGAGAGAGAGAGAGAGAGAGAGAGAGAGAGAGAGAGAGAGAGAGAGAGAGAGAGAGAGAGAACGTGGGAATAATTGAATTAGATTCAGACTTCTCAGAGATGATATAATTCAATTTTTATTTTACTATTTATTATTATTTTATTTATTTTAAATGCTGTAGCTTTTCTGCTGTCACATGTGAGGTTTCTTTGCTCTTTAATATGTCACCTATATAACACCTACACAAATCTTGTTATTTTTTTGCAATAAAATCGATCATACATCAACTACCTTTTTCCTCTGTCTTCTCCAATAAGAAAAAGAAAGAATAATATGTCTAAAAGTGGAGTTTTGTTATTACAATTAGTGATAATCACAATTGGATTAAGTTATTTCATCATTAGTGCTAATGCACTCACAGCCTCTGGATGGACTCAGGCTCATGCAACTTTCTACGGAGGCAGTGATGCTTCTGGAACAATGGGTAAGTTAAATTTACATATTTATCTATTTATTTATTTTTTGATTATTTGAAAAATAAAAATAATAGTACTTTTTAATTGGATATATATAATAATTAGGGGGTGCTTGTGGGTATGGAAACTTGTACTCGGCTGGGTATGGTACAAGAACTGCAGCGCTGAGTACAGCACTGTTCAACAACGGAGGTTCGTGTGGTCAATGCTTCAAGATAATGTGTGATTACAATTCTGACCCTCAGTGGTGTAAGAAAGGTGTGTCTGTCACCGTCACCGCCACTAACTTCTGCCCTCCGAACTTTGACCTTCCTAGCGACAACGGCGGGTGGTGCAACCCTCCACGTCAGCATTTCGACATGGCTCAGCCCGCCTGGGAAAAAATCGGCATTTACAGAGGCGGCATTGTCCCCGTCATCTACCAAAGGTATGTACTCTTTATTACTCACTCTTGCTATAAATCTAGGATTTATTGCATTTACCACCCATATATTTATTTTAATTGTCAACTAACTCCATGTGTAATAAATATTAACCAAATCTACCCTATGGTTCAAATGTTGTTAGCAAAACTATTCCTTAGACGCTCTATTTACTTGGGAGTTATGTGCCAAGAAAAAGCATCATTTGAAGTTTTTTGCTAATATTTATTACACGAGGAGTTTTTAGCAATTCAATATAACATGCTTGTAAAAAATGCAATGAACTCTCTAAATCTAATAAAAAAAAATGATTTGTTGAGAATTATGATAAGAATTGATAGACACTTCCTCATTCTTTTTAAGGGTCACTTTTCAGCTTACCTAAATATTAATGGTTTTAATAAATATGACATTTTTTTAGGAAAAATACAGAAAATAGACTAAAATAACCAAACCCTATAGTTTAACAATGTAGTAAGAGAATTTTAACTCTTAATAGAATTGAATTGATAAGAGTAAACGAGGAAAAAAATGAATTTAATAAATTATTAAAATTTTAAAGTCATAGATAATATCGAGCAAAAATATTTTTATAAACTGATGGTTATTTATTGCAGGGTTCCTTGCAAGAAACATGGTGGAGTTAGATTTACGATAAGTGGGAGGGATTACTTTGAGTTAGTCTTGATAACAAACGTTGGAAATGCTGGATCCATACAATCCGTACAAATCAAGGGCCCGAAAACAGGGTGGATGCCTATGTCAAGAAATTGGGGTGCTAATTGGCAATCTAATTCTTTTCTTAATGGCCAATCAATTTCGTTCATGGTGACCACAACTGATGGTATAGTTAAAACATTTTTAAATGTTGTCCCTTCTAATTGGGCTTTTGGTCAGACATTTTCGAGCCCGGCCCAATTTTGAGATTTATATGGATGGGCCTTGCTATCTTCAAGGCCGTGGCGAGCTAACTATTTTACTCAAAGCAGCCCGCCCCAAATATATTTCGGGCCAATCGAAGAAGAGAATCGGTCGGAGACTTGGAGACGGGATTTGTTCGATCTTCATTGTATTGAGAGTCGAAAGACATGCGCATAATAAGAGGCACGATAATGTGCATCTTTGGATTGCTTATTATTTTCCAATGTTTTTTTGGTTACGTACGACGATTGTAATTATGGTATCATACTATATAAGCAAAAAAAAGACAGATTTTTAGTTTTCTATTTAGGTTCCGTTTGGATGAGCTTATTTTAAACAACCGATAAGCTCTTACTCCGATAAGATGTTTTAAGAGTTGATAAACTGTTGCATATTAATTAAGATCTTTCTACAAAAATAAAATACCAAACACTTTAAAAAAACTTATTATAAGCTCTTAAACATCTTATAAGCTCGGCCAACAATTTCTAGGATTGCTATCCACCAAAATAAATAACAATTTCCAGTCTCTCACATCACATAATAATATTTTTATTTGAAGTATATAGTTATACACTAACCCTGCAAGTGAATTGGTTATAAAGTATGACTTAATTAAACTTCGTCTGGTATACCAACTATAACAAATTGAAATTTTATTACATGCATGGTTCTCCACGTCAGCAAGACTACATCTTTTTAGCCCAAAATGTAATATATAATACTACATGCTGAAATGGAATGCCTTGCTAAACAAACAATACTAATAAAAATTCATTTCTGTAGTTTTAATTTATAATATATGATATAACTACTCTTAGCAAATTACTCATCAAACTTTGTTCTAGCTCACCAAACATGTCAATGGTGGAATCATCTCTCCCCAACTAAACCACCACCACTAGAAGATCAGTTGGGGGTGGGGTGGGGGTAGGGGGGTGTATGTTGTCCTATAAATACCCTTTGTAGACTTCAACCAATCACATGCACTAAATCAAGAAAAAGAAGATAAATTAATTTAAGAAATGGCAGCCAAATTTGTTTCCTTGTTAGTTACTATGTTTGTTTTTGCATCAACTTTGATCAGCTCTTCAAATGCACTGAGTTTGAATTACTACGACCAAACATGCCCTAACGCCGAGACGGCCATCGCAGAAGCCGTGCACAAAGGCATGATCAACGACAAAACGGTTCCGGCAGCTTTACTTAGGATGCACTTCCATGATTGTTTCATCAGGGTAAGTAAACAAATTAAAAAAAAACAATTATCTGTCGTAAGTATATTCGACTTTAAATTGATTAGTTTGTGTAATTATTTATTTTTTGAAGGGTTGTGATGGTTCTGTGCTGCTGAATTCGACGGTGAAAAACCAGGCCGAAAAAGACGGACCTCCGAATATTTCGTTGCATGCATTTTATGTTATTGATAATGCAAAGAAACAAGTCGAGAAAATGTGCCCCGGTGTCGTTTCTTGTGCTGATATTTTAGCTCTGGCTGCTAGGGATGCAGTTTCACTTGTAAGTATTATTCCTTATTAGTGTCCTTAATTATTTAAAATTCGAATAAATAATATTCTAATTAATAATTAGCACAAATTGAAGAGGTTAATTAACTAATTATATTTTAATTAGTCTGGAGGTCCCAATTGGAATGTGCCTAAAGGGAGAAAAGATGGAAGAATTTCAATTGCCAATGATTCACTACAATTACCATTTCCCACATTCAATATATCTCAATTACAACAGAGCTTTTCTCAAAGAGGCCTTTCTATTGATGATCTAGTGGCACTCTCAGGTAATTAATTAATTATTAATTACTATTTAATTACCTTATTAATTAACTAAACACACTCATAATTATTATTAAATATTTATGCAGGAGGGCACACACTTGGATTCTCCCACTGTTCATCATTCCAAAACAGAATCCACAACTTCAACAATAAAACGGACGTCGATCCGTCGATGGATCCATCGTTTGCTTCCAGCTTAAGGCAAGTTTGCCCGATGCATAACACGGTGAAAAATGCGGGTTCATTTCTAGATACTTCGCCGACGGTTTTCGATAATGCCTACTACAAAATGCTGGTACAAGGGAAGAGCATTTTCTCTTCGGACCAGGCACTTCTTACTAATTCCAGGACACAGGCTTTGGTACAGAAGTATGCTGCCTCTCAGCCCGAGTTTTACGAGGCGTTTGCGAACTCGATGGTGAAGATGAGCAGCATCAATGGTGCTGGAACTGAGATTAGACTCGATTGTAGATCTATCAATCATTAGTATATATATACATATGGTTGAATTTATATATGCATGCTTTTTTTTTTAAATAATTTAATTGTGGTGATCAGTGTTGATGTATTTGTTTTTTTTTTTTTTAATTTTATTGTGATTATTTGTTAATTGAAATGAGTTG